TACTACTACTACTACTACTACTACTACTACTACTACTACTACTACTACTACTACTACTACTACTACTACTACTACTACTACTACTACTACTACGACTTATGCCTCAGGGGCGCTCTCACGGAAAGCCCCGGCTCAAATATTCGATCCTCAGAAATGTCACGTTCTGAAGCTCCATCTTGTTGCAATTCTCATGAGAACTTGTTCAAGATTCCTTTCGCGTGCGGGGTCGCCCACGGTGAGTTTTTCATTGGAAGAAAGAGCCACCCAAGAAAATCCAGCCACCGACCATTACTAGGACATGATCCCCCTGGTTCACCAGGTGCCGACCAGGCGCTAGCACTTAGGAAGAGCAGATTGAAAGAACTCGCGACCCAAAACGATGCACATTCTTCTTGCAATCCTCATGAGAAGATGCTCGAGATTCATTTCTCGCATGTGGGGCGGCCCACGATGGATTTGTTGTTGGGAGAAATAATGGCCCAAGAATATCCAGCTACCGAACATGACTGGGAAATCCATTCCCGGTCTCACCAGGCACCGACTAGACGCCAGCAGACATTCCGCCAGCAGCAATAGAACTAGCAGTTTGAGAGAACTCGCTGCCCAACACGATACACATTCCTATTGCAATCCTCGTGAGAAGGTTATCAGCATTCCTCTCGCGTGTGGGGTGGGTAGTCCACGGTGGCTTATTTGCTGGGAGAGATAACCACCCAAGAGCATCCAGCTCACCGAAAATGACTGGGACATGATTCCCCTGTTGCCGCAGGCGCAGCAACAGGCAGGCGAGCCTGAGCAAATTCGCGAATCGAAGCTATGTGCATTCCTATTGCAATCCTCGCGAAGAGATGCTCACAGACCGTCTCTCGTACAGGGTAGCCCACAATGGATTGTCCCATGGGGGAGAGAACTCCCCAACATGATCCAGCCCGCCCAACAATAAAGAGAAAATCACTTCCGCCGCGACCGCGACGACGACGACGACGACGACGACGGCGAGGAGGAGCAGGAGAAGGAAGAAGAGGAAGCGGAGCAGGAGGAGGAGGAGGAGGAGGAGGAGGAGGAAGAGGAGAGGGGAGGAGGGGGAAGAGGAGGAGGAGGAGGAGAAGGAGAAGGAGGGGGAGCAGGAGCAGGAGGAGGAGAAGGAGGGGCGAGTTTATTCCCCGCCGCCGAGAGAAACCGGGGGGGGAGCAATAACGAAAGGCCTCATGAGGTTACCGCTTCCGACACCTTCCCACGGTTTAGCCTTTCCGATCCTCTTGGTGCCTCGTGTGGGGCCCTCGTCGCCGCGGCTGGTGCCGCCGTCGGAGCGGACCCCTTGGAGAGGTTTGGTGGATAGCAGCACTGGCACAGTCCACCCGCAGAGTTAGGATTGGCACCCTTCCCAAGGTTGCCCCTGCAGCCTTGCCCCTTCGGTCCATCCTTGGCCACTTTCGCTGGCCGCGCCCCGCTCGAGAAGCTTCGAAATGGGCGTCCAAGGCCCTTGCATCCTTATGGCGCATCCTTACGATGCGGGCCAACTGAATCTTGTCTTGCCCTCAGGATCGACATCGCAGCTTTCAAGCAATCCCCGGGCTTCGCCAGCGTTCCAAGCGCTGCTGAAGATTTGCTCCGACCCCCCGGGTGACCTGGACGACGAGGACCTCTACGATACTTCGAGCCTTACCCACGAGGTGCCCGCAGCATGGGTGCTGGCGGCTATCGGCGAGGGTTCTAGGGCGGGACAACCGCTTCAAGCAGGACATCCTGACTTCGACGAGTACAGCAGAGAAGCCTCGCTGACGCTCTTCGAGGTGTGCGTGCGCCGGGGGTCCCAGCAGCAGCTGCGGAGGCTCCGAGAAGTGGCCCAGCTCGAGCTGCACCGGCAGATCGCCTCCGGCAGCATCACGGTCCAGGACCTCCTGAAGCTGCTGCGGTCCGGCGCGGACCCGCTGCGGCACCACCTCTCCCAGGCCGTGGCGCGCTCGCAGGGCTTCGAGCTGGACCCCCACTTCCCCATCGTCAAGCGGGCCCGCGTGGCCAGCCTCGAGGCTGCGGGGCGAAGCACGCCGCTGCACCAGGTGTGCGAAGCCGCCGCCCTGCTGCCTCGGCGCCTGGCCGGGCGCTACGCCGAGGTGGCGCGGTGGCTCTGCGAGGCTGCCCCGCTGTCGCTGCTGCTGCGGGACGACCGCGGCAGGACGCCACTCGAGGTGCTGAGCGGCGCCTGGCAGGCGAGGGGCCCGGTGAACGAGGACCTCCCCCTCCTCCTCCTCCTCCTTCTCCTCCTCCTCCTCCTCCTCCGCCTCCTCCTCCTCCTCCTCCTCCTCCTCCGCCCTCCTCCGCCCTCCTCCTCCGAGGACCTGCTGTGCGCCCTCTGCGGCCAGCGCGGGCACACCGGCGGGGAGTGCCTTCGGCAGGAGGCCGGCAGGCACGTCGCCATGCCCGGCGCCGCCGCGGCGCATTCCCACGCGCTGCTGCGCGCGCTGGCGCGGGGCTGCGCCCTGGTGGCCGACAGGTACCCCTGGCGCGCCCACGCAGCGCTTACGGAGGCCAAGAACCAAGGCTTCTCGAGGGCGGCCCACCGCTTGCGGGAAATGCTAACGCTGGACGAGGCCCCGCCGCCGGCGCAGCCGCCGGCAGAGCGCGGCGTGCAGGCAGAGGCGGAGCAACACACGGCCTGCGAAGAGGAGGCGCTGAACAGCGAAGCGGTAGAGGACATCGACCAGCTCCTCAGCCTCGCGTGCGCCGGGCCGCCCGAGTGGCAGAGCTTCTCCGCCGCCGCCCTCGGCGTCGCGGAGCACGTGGGCTCGCTGGCAGCAGCGCGGGCGCGGACGAAGGTCATGAACGCGGTGGCCGGCGCGGCGGCCGCCGAGTGCGCCCAGGCGGACGTCCGCGAGGTGCGCGCGCGGCTGGCCGCGAGCGAGGAGGGCCGGCGCGCTGACGTGGCCGCCTTGGAGCAGCGGGTCGAGGGCCTCGAGGCCGACCTGTCCTCGGCGCAGCGGCAGCTCGAGGAGGCGCAGGCGCGAGCCACGGCCGCCGAGCGTGACGTGGCAGAGGCAGCAGAGGCCCGCGCTACCGTGGGGCCTGCGTCTTCGCGCGCGGTGGCTACCGGTGGCGGCCCTGAGGCGGGTGCCTCGCTTGCGAAGCGACGCGTTGCCGGTGGCGTGCCGCACGCCCCGCGCACCCCGCAGGAGTTCATCGCGGAGCTGAGGCGCGAGCGCCTTGTGGACCTCGAAGAGGACGCGGACCTCCCCGACGAGGTGCGCGACGGCATCTCCCGCCTCTCGCGCTCGCTGTGCGCCGCGGTGGAGCGCCTGGCAGAGGACCTGTACGAGAGCGAGTGCCACTTCATCTACGAGCTCGTGCAGAACGCCGAGGACGCCCATCGGCGCAGCAGCCGGAAGGCCGCGGAGGCGGAGCTCAGGCTCGGGCTGGGCGCCCCTGGCGAGAGTTGGAGGAATGGATACTTCGTGAGCGACAGCAACGAGGAGGGCTTCTCACAAGTGGACGTCCGTGCCGTTTGTGATATCTCGGCCTCGTCGAAGTCGCGGCCAAGCAGCGGTGGCAACACCATCGGCTGCAAGGGTATCGGCTTCAAGTCCGTCTTCACCGTGAGCGACCGGCCTCACGTGCTATCGCGTGGCTTCACTTTCGTCTTCGACGTCGCCGGGCCGCTGGGCAAGCTCGGCTACGTCACGCCCACGTGGCTGGCGCCAGAGCAGATCGCGGCCCTCCCGGAAGAGGTCCGCCTGGCGCACGCCGCGGGTCGGACGGTGCTCTTCCTGCCGCTGAAGCGGCCAGGGCTGTCGGCGGCCATCGAGAGAGAGATGGAGGAGTGGTATAGGGCTTCGGGTTGTGCACAGACAGCCCACCCAGGCAGGCCCGGCCTCAGCAGGCCCCCCGAGTAGTCCCAGCTGGCGTGAACAGGCCCCCCGAGTAGTCGGTGGCGGTCTCAGCACTCCGGCGCTGCGTCCAGCGGCGCTCCTGGGCCGCTCCGCGCCCCAGGGTTGGGGTGCCGAGACCGACCTGACTATTCAGGGGGCCTGCTGGGGCCACCTGAGACTACTCGGGAGGCCCGTTGAGGCAAGCCTGGACTACCTGGGGGGGCTGTCTGCGCGCAGCCCGAAGCCTTGCCATGGAGGAGCTGTCCGGCCCAGGCCGCGCGACGCTGCTGTTCCTACGCCAGCTGCAGAGGCCGGCTGCGCGCGTGAATTCCCGCGTCCCAGACAGGCATCTCGAGGCGGCCCGTGTCTATCTTGTTGGGAGCCTCTGGATGCCAGTCGAAGAAGAAATTATCCGGCCGAAGGGCCCAACCATATGCAAGTGTGTGTGTACCGCAAGGCAGGTGGGACGAAGCAGGGGGAGATCCTTATAGAGGCCACGAGACGTGTGAGGGTATGCCGACATGGGCAAGGGGGCGCATTTGGACGCCGCCGCCAAGGCCTTCAGTGGAGCTCTCTAAGGGCAGGCCACGAAACGCTTTACTGGGTGGCGCGGACGCCTGTGATCACAGCCGTTGGGGCCTTGGTTGAGCTCCCGATGGGGCCACGAAGCGCTGTACAGGGTGGCGCTGACGCGTGTGATCACAGCCACTGAGGCCTTCGGTGGAGGTCATTATGGGTCCACGAAATACCGTACTGGGTGGCGCAAACGCATCTGATTAACTGAGCCACCGGGGCCTTTGGTGGAGCTCCCTATGGGGCCACGAAGCGCTGTGGCACGGACGCGTGTAAACACAGCCACTGGAGCCTTCGGTGGAGCTCCCTATTGGGCTACGAAGCGCTATGCTGGGTGGAGCGGGCGCTTTGATCACAGCCACTAGGGGCCTCCAGTGGGGCCCCCACTGGGGCCAAGAAGCGCTGTACTGGGTGGCGCGGACGCATGTGATCAGAACCGCTGGGGCCTTCGATGTAGCTCCCTATGGGACTGGCATGCCTTACTGGGTGGCACGGACGCATGTGATCACAGCCACTGGGGCCTTCGTTGGAGCTCCCCGGGCCACGAAGCGCTGTACAGGGTGGTGCGGACGCAGTGATCAGAACCACTGAAGCCTTCGATAGGGCTCCCTATGGGACCACGAATCGCTGTACTGGGTGGCGCGGGCGCATGTGATCACAACCGCTGGGTCCTTCGGTGGAGCTCCCTATGGGGCCACGAAGCGCAGTACAGGGTGGCGCGGACGCATGTGATCACAGCCATTGAGGCCTTCGGTGGAAGTCATTATGGAGCCACGGCATGCCGTATTGGGTGGCCCGGACACATGTGATCACAGCCACTGGGGCCTTCGGTGGAGCTCCCCATGGGGCCGCGAAGCGCTGTACTGGGTGGCGCGGACGCATGTGATCACAGCCACCGGGGCCTTCGGTGGAGCTCCCTATGGGGCCACGACACGCTGTGATTTTTCATGTGCGCGGACGCATGTGATCACAGCCACTGGGGCCTTCGGTTGAGCTCCCTATGGGGCCACGAAGCGTTCTACTGGGTGTTGAGGGCAGAAGCAGGGATAGGAGGATGGGGAGGAGGGGCGGGGAGGAGAAGGAGGAACGCTGGTCGCTGTTATATATATATATATATAGGTCAAAGCGGGGACCCAACACCCCAGGACTCTTGGGGAAAACATGATAGCACATAAATCTTGGCGGGCCCGCGCGGATGTCTTGGATCGGCGCAGGGCCCGACTGGCGGCCCTCCGGCGCCGCCCCTGGCGCGCGCTCCGCGCGAAGTTCGCGCGGACCTCCGAACATCGACTCATGTTTTATACAGCTATTTTGTTCGTCTGATTCTCCCTCCTCCGCTCCGCCTAATTCAAGCTTGGCGCGGCCCGCTTAGCTTCGACCGGAAGAGGTGCGCTCTCGACCCGCGGATCAAAAAGTTCGTCTGATTCTAATCAAACCGGTCGGAGATGGAAAACGGGTTCTGTACAGCAGGTCCGTGGCGTGCCGACGCGGCGGCCGCCCCAACGCGGGCGTTCGACGTTGAACGCCGCCAGTGGCCCCGATCTGGCCACCGACCGTTCAAGGTTCAACGATCCGTCAGGAACCACCGCTAGGGTCGCCACGACACGACCAGACCTCCTGGGGCCCACGCATCCCCCCCGAAAAAGTGCGCCAGATTTCTGGGGGGGCATCTAAGGAGTCAGGGGGCTTCTCGGAAGTCCTCGCGCCCTTTGAGAGGCCCTCTTGGAAGCCTCCGACCTCTTCTGAAGAAGCCCCCAAGCCTTCCCGGATGACCGCGCAGGCATCGCCCCACCCCGCCTTCTGCCACCGAACGACTTGTCTGCACCGTGCTGCGTTGGCGTCTCCCCAGCGTCGCCGATCTTCTGCCCAGGCATGGCATGGTGCACGCTTTCCTGGCCTCCAGGGCCTACGCACCACACCGAGACATCCGACGCCGTGTTTTTTTCGCAACGTGGCCCCCCAGAAGTCTGGACCTCGTTCAAGGGACCGGTTTTTTATCCCGACTTGTTTTTGACGGCCCCGGGGCCAGGCAAGGGAAACCCTCTGTCGCGAGGATGTCAGGGGTCCGCGCCGGATTTGGGTCACAGGAAGTTCAGGCATGGTAGCGCCGTCTGTGCAGCACCGTTCCAGGTTCAATTCTTCACGCTTCGCGTATCCCCACCAGCCCATCTCAAAACAGCAACTCTTGCGAAGCATGCCGACAGTCGTGTTTTTCAGGCGTGTTTCCGCCTGCCCCCGCATATCTCCCCTGTTCCTCCTTCCTCCCGCCTCCTTGTACATCCTCCTTGTGGTGGGAGCGGGAGAAGGACGAGGCGGAGGAGGAGGGAGAGAAAGCGCTCCTCGTGGTTTGAGTCGTTTGGGGTTTCTCGTCCTGGTGTGAGTCGTTCGGGCCCTTCTTCCTGGTGTGAGTCGTTCGGGCTCTTCGTGGTGTGAGTCGTTCGGGCTCTTCGTCCTGGTGTGAGTCGTTCGGGCTTCTCGTGGTGTGAGTTGTTCGGGCCCCTCGTCCTGGTGTGAGTCGTTCGGGCCCCTCCTCCTGGTGTGACTCGTTCGGGCTCCTCGTGGTGTGAGTCGTTCGGGGCCCTCGTCGTGGTGTGAGTCGTTCGGGCTCCTCGTGGTGTGAGTCGTTCGGGCGCCTCGTCCTGGTGTGAGTCGTTCGGGCCCCTCCTTCTGGTGTGAGTCGTTCGGGCTCTTCGTGGTGTGAGTCGTTCGGGCCCCTCGTCCTGGTGTGAGTCGTTCGGGCTCCTCGTTGCGTGAGGCGTTCGGGCACCTCGTCCTGGTGCAAGTCGTTCGGGCCCCTCGTAGTAGGAGTAGTAGTAGTAGTAGTAGTAGTAGTAGTAGTAGTAGTCGTAGTCGTAGTCGTAGTCGTAGTCGTAGTCGTAGTCGTAGTCGTAGTCGTAGTCGTAGTCGTAGTCGTAGTCGTAGTCGTAGTCGTAGTCGTAGTCGTAGTCGTAGTAGTAGTAGTAGTTAGTAGTAGTAGTAGTAGTCGGTGGTGGTGGTGGTGGTGGTAGTAGTAGTAGTAGTAGTAGTAGTAGTAGTAGTAGTAGTAGTAGTAGTAGTAGTAGTAGTAGTAGTAGTAGTAGTAGTGGTAGTAGTGCATGTCTTTTGGGAGCCTCTTGGAGGCCTTTTGGGGCGTCTTGGGGGCCTCTTGGCGGCCCCAGGGGCTTCTAGGAGCGTCTTGGGTGCCTTGGGGGAGCCTCTTCGGGCCTCTTGGGAGCCTCTTGGAGGCCGTTTGGGGCGTCTTGGGGGCCTCTTGGCGGCCCCAGGGGCTTCCAGGAGCGTCTTGGGTGCCTCGGGGGAGCCTCTTGGGGCCTCTTGGGGGCCTCTTGGGGGCATCTTGGGGGCCTCTTGGAGGCCTCTTGGGGCCTCTTGGGGCTCTTTGGGAGGGGTCTGGGAGGTATCTTGGGGCCATCTTTGGGGCGATCGATCACAGATGGGGCGAGCATTTTTGTCAGTACCCCCGTCGGGGCCACGATCCTCGTGAGGGGTGTCGAATTTTAGCCCTCCCAGGGATAGAAAAAGGACCCTCTGACCACCCGCGAAACCCCCTCTCCAGGTCCAGGGGGAGGGGGTAGGGGGAGGGGTAAACCCCTCCCCGAAGGGGAAGAAGGGGGGGTTTAGAGCAGAGAGAGCTCGCTAAACCACTCACGCCCAAAGGGCTGGTGGGATTAGTAGTGCTAGTAGTAGTAGTGGTAGCAGTGATAGCAGTAGTAGCAGTAGTAGTAGTAGTAGTAGTAGTAGTAGTAGTAGTAGTAGTAGTAGTAGTAGTAGTAGTAGTAGTAGTAGTAGTAGTAGTAGTAGTAGTAGTAGTAGTAGTAGTAGTAGTAGTAGTAGTAGTAGTAGTAGTAGTAGTAGTAGTAGTAGTAGTAGTAGTAGTAGTAGTAGTAGTAGTAGTAGTAGTAGTAGTAGTAGTAGTAGTAGTAGTAGTAGTAGTAGTAGTAGTAGTAGTAGTAGTAGTAGTAGTAGTAGTAGTAGTAGTAGTCTTTGCGGAGCCTCTTGGAGACCTTTTGGGGCCTCTTGGGGGCCTCTTGGCGGCCCCAGGGGAATCGAGAAGCGTCTTGGGTGCCTTGGGGGAGCCTCTTCGGGCTTCTTGGGAGCCTCTTGGAGGCCGTTTGGGGCGTCTTGGGGGCCTCTTGGCGGCCCCAGGGGCTTCCAGGAGCGTCTTGGGTGCCTCGGGGGAGCCTCTTGGGGCCACTTGGGAGCCTCTTGGGGGCCTCTTGGGGGCCTCTTGGAGGCCTCTTGGGGCTCTTTGGGAGGGGTCTGGGAGGCATCTTGGGGCCATCTTTCGGGCGATCGATCACAGATGGGGCGGGTTTTTTCTCCCTCCCCCCGTCGGGGCCAGAATCCTCGTGAGGGGTGTCGTTTTTTAGCCCTCCCAGGAGTCGAAGAAGACCCCTCCACCCACCCGCGGGTCGCCCTCTCCAGGCCCAGGGGGAGGGGGGAGGGGGAGGGGTAAACCCTTCCCCGAAGGGGAAGAAGGGGGGTTGAGAACAGAGAGAGCTCCCTAAACCACTCACGCCCAAAGGGCTGGTGGGATTTCAATCCGATCGATCCAATTCGATATCGATCCTGGCCCGCTTGCTCCGATCCAATCCCAAGATGATTTTCCCCAAATTGCCGAGCCTTGCCCCAAGTTGAAGGCTCGGCAGCTTGGCAAGTTGAGCCTTCGACGCCCCCCGCTACAGAATTGATTTACCCCCAAGTTGAGTTTCCCCTATCGAAGCTACGACGAATACTAGACTGCTCATGCATCTACTAGAGATTCTGAGTAGTTTCCGTAGACTCGACGAGATTATCCCGGCAAAGCAACCTAACAGCGATGTGTAGGAGCATATCTGGAAGCATTCCCCTTAAGATTCAGATGATAATCCAGTTGTAGAATTCTGCTGTTCTCGCAGTCGTAGTCGCATTCGCGATGACAGTCGCAGTGGCAACGGCAGTCGCAGTCACAGCCTCAGCCTCAGCCTGCCTCAGCCTCAGCCTCAGCCTGCCTCAGCCTCAGCCTGCCTCAGCCTCAGCCTCAGCCTGCTTCAGCCTCAGCCTCAGTCTGCCTTCAGCCTCGGCCTCAGCCTCAGCCTGCCTCAGCCTCAGCCTGCATCAGCCTCAGCCTCAGCCTCAGCCTGCCTCAGCATCAGCCTGCCTCAGCCTCAGCCTCAGCCTGCCTCAGCCTCAGCCTCAGCCTGCTTCAGCCTCAGCCTCAGTCTGCCTTCAGCCTCGGCCTCAGCCTCAGCCTGCCTCATCCTCAGCCTGCCTCAGCCTCAGCATCAGCCTGCCTCAGCATTCAAAATGTGGCCCGGGAATGGAGTTCTGGGAATTCGAAGAACACGAAGTGGCCTACAGTTGGCTCCGGGCATTCAAAATCATGCGCAGAAATGGAGTTCTGGGAACTCGAAGACCACGAAGTGGCCTACGGTTGGCTCCGGGCATCCAAAATGTGGCCCGGGAATAGAGTTTTGGGAATTCGAAGACCACGAAGTGGCCTACAGTTGGCTCCGGGCATCCAAAATGTGGCCCCGGAGTGGAGTTCTGGGAACTCGAAGACCACGAAGTGGCTTACAGTTGGCTCCGGTCATCCAAAATGCGGCCCGGGAAAGGAGTTCTGGGAACTCGAAGAGCACGAAGTGTGTGACTGTTGGCTCCGGTTATTCAATATGTGGCCCGGGAATGGAGTTCTGGGAGGTCGAAGAGCACGAAGTGTGTGACTGTTTGGTTGACACGAGCCCGGCTCTGTTCCCGGTTCTTTTCCCCGGCACCCGCCCAGACCCCCCTGTGGAGTCATCAGATGCTTTCTTTTGAGTCCACTAGAAACCTATCAGCAAAAGCTGTTAGGTAATAAACAGAGGAAAGCCCCAATCAGTGGATGGTTTGAGAAGATCGACCGGGATCCCGGGAGCCCAGGAACCCAGAACCCACCGAAATCGGCATGGAACCAAAGACCGGGAACCCAGGAACCCGGAACTGGCAACATGGGAACCCAGCCTGCTACCAAACTCGGCCTGAACTTTCGTCACATCTTTCAACTTCCGCTAGGACCCCTTCAGCGCAAGCACTCATTTCCGCCGCCTGGAGGGCCAGTTTTTGGAGCCTCGGCAGGCGGTGGATATGGACACATTCGGGCCCCCGCTGGCCGAAATTTATCCGTATCCACCGCCCTCTGGGGCACCAGGACGTCGGCTCCCACGCGGTGGATGTGGATAGATCCCCGCCTCGCAATACCATCTGGGGCGGGATTGGGCCTGTGAGCCCTCAACCTGGGATCGCACATACCCTAAAAGGGGGCACGATCGGAGACGAAGAAGGCGGGTACGGAGGGCTCTGTGGTGTGGTTGCCGCACGACGCGCGAGCGACGAAGAGCGACCAGTCGTGGATAGATCCCCGCCTCGCACGGCTGGGGAACACTCGGCAGCCGATCCCCTGCTCGAGCCCGCCGGCGCCGTGGATAGACCCCCGACGTCGTGGATAGATCCCCGCCTCGCACCAGACCCCCGACGTCGTGGATAAATCCCCGCCTCGCACCAGACCCCCGACGTCGTGGATAGATCCCGGTGCCAGGGAAAGGGTCGAGACTTCCAGGGACGCCGTCCTGAAGAAATCAGGACGTCGCATGTCTGGGCACGGAAGGCTCGTGCCTGGAGGGTTCCAAAGTCGGGGGTGGACAGACCTCCTACCCTGACACGTCGATTCGCGAGTGGGCCGTTCTCGGTTCACGAGGGGGCGTCGCGGCCGTCATTTTGGCGGGTCCAGGTCCGTCGGTGTCGGTCCTAGAGGCCGTTTGCACTACAGGGTGGTTTGCTAAAGGGAGTTTAATCCACCGCCGACATATGGGGGTTTTTGGGGAGGGGGTTTTCCAGGAGGGGTCCCCCAGGGGCTTCGCACCCCCTGTTTTGACGAGGTTCCGAGGCCCCTGGGGGCTCTCTGGACAACCCCCTCCCCAAAAATCCCCGTTGAATCCCTCCTGCATGCGGCGTTGGCGCGCCGGCGACGCCAGCGACGGCGTGCAAGGTGGAATTCTGCGACGCGGCAGCACCGAGGGACACGGAGACGCCACTGGACCCGACTGGCCGCGCTCGATTCCATGCTCAATGATCGGCGCGGTGTCAGGAACACCTCTGCGCGTGCCGCCGACACCGCACGGACCGACCGTGGAGACCGTCCGCCGTGCCCTCTGGCCCGCGAACAGGGGGGGGGGGCGGGGGGGGGGTCCTGCCGCCCTCGCCTCCTGCGGCCAGGAGCCGTGGCTTCCCTGTGGTCCAGAATCCTTTGAAGTGATGGCCACAACCATTAAGAGAAAGGACGGGACCATGTTCTTTCAAATAAGGGTTGTGTCCCTTATTTGAAATATTTGATAACCCTGTATCCCTTGATAAGGGTAGTGAATCCCATACATCCCTTGATATACAAATATGATATAGGATTAGGATATTTTGGTTTTGATAACCCTGTATCCCTTGATTATTTGAATCTTATGATATTACCTGTATCCCCTGATATTTTGGATGCATCGCGTCTTCTTACGCGCCGCGCCGCGGGCTCTCTGGCCCACCACGCTCCGGCGCGGCACGCTCGTCCACGCCGCGGCCCCCTGGGGCGCGGCACGCGGTCCGCGCCCGCAGTCGACGAGGCGTCGACGCCCCGAGCCTCTCCCCGAGCCCCCCGCCCCTCGGAGCAGAGCGGCACGCTGTCCGCTCGCCGGGCGCAGCGCGTCGCCGGGGCCGCCGCCGCGGCACGCTGCGCAGAGGTCCCTGGCCGCAGTGCCGCGGGAGGGAGACCCGTGGACACAGGCACGCATGATCGCTGGTTCCCCAGCCAGGTGGGAGAACATCGGGAGCTGAGGGGAAGACGGCACCTTAAGAGGGTCTGGACGAGTATGAGGAATCCTGGGAGTTGTGTGTAGTTCTGTGTATGTGCCCCTGGGCCCTTGAATGCCCTCCGTCCGCAGACCCCCGACGTCATCATGAGTTTTCCATAACGTCTGCCCCCAGGGGTCTCGACCCAACCCCCTGGACCGGTTTCTCGTCCTGAGTCGTTTCGCGATGGTCCCGAGGCCCCGTGAGGGCCCCCGGAGGCCGAAACTGGTGCAAAACATCCTGCCGAGATTTTCTCACGACTCGAGGTGGTCGGGGGTCCGCAGAGGATCCGGCTTCAGCCTGCGCCGGGCGGAGCGGCCCCGCGCGCGCTGGCGAGGCGCGGCGGCGGCGGTGGCGGCGGCGTGGCCGTCGTGGTCGAGCCGGAGGCGGGGCAGCCCCTGGAGCACCGGTACTTGTTGCACCACCCGGGAGGGGAGGCATCGTTATGGGCATCCCTCCTCCTCCTCCCCTTCCTCCTCCTCCTCCTCCTCCTCCTCCTCTTCCTCCTCCTCCGGAGAGTTTCGCAGGTTCGTTCTCCCCCTCCTCCCCACCCCCCCCCCTGGAGTCAGGCAAACAGGCACGACGGGAGGTGCTTCGCCAGTTTCGGCCCTTATGGGGGGCCCTGCCCCGGCCTCGGGACTGTCAACGGAACGACTCCGGAGGAAAAGCCGGTCCTTAGGAGAGTGTTGAGACTTCTTCATGAAGGAATCATGACGTCGTGGGTAGGAGTCCTGATCCCTGATCCTCCTCCTCCTCATCCTCCTCCTGGGCTGGAACTATATCGGCTCCACCGCCCCGGTTGGTTTTTCATTGAGGAGCTTTCGTGGACTCCCTGACCTGACCTCCTCCCATTCCTCCTCCTCCTCCTCCTCCTCATTCTCATTCTCTATTCTCATTCTCTATCCTTTCCCCCTCTGTGGAGCCCTGCGCGCCTGCTGGAGTTTGTGCGCGATGCCGAAGGTTGCCTCTCGAGCTTGCCTCAGCTCTCCTCCTCCTGCTCCAAGCGAATCGCTGTGAACATAAACAAGCACACAGAAGCTGCCGCAGGCCCGCGCGGGCCTCTTGGATTACGAGCAGGGGGCCGACAGGAGGATTGATCAGCCCCCAACATCGGTTCTCCCGCCGAACCCACGAAACATGCGCAGAATGCGCGCATGCTGCGCGGACTCGGGTCGATCCATTCCGCAGTCGATTCCTTCGATGGACCGGCGCTGTGCCCCCCAAGCGGCGCTTCCGGAGCCGCCCCTGGCGCGCTCCGCGCGAACAAGGAGAAGACTCATCGCCGGAGGCGCAGCGCGGAGCGCCTCCGCGCTCTGCGCGCGGCGATGGGGGGGGCCCCGCGCCGATCGCAGGCCCGACGGTGCGGGGCAATCCCGGCTGCGATGCGCATCGTTGTCGCCCGGACAGCGCGCAAGTTGTGAATTCTTTGATCTGTGCCCATCTCCCTGAGTGGTGGGCTGAGCCAGGCCGACTTCTTGACTCGGAGCCAGACCCTTGACTGCTTCACGTCGAGCTTACCGTAAGTCGAATACCCCTTCAGATCACAGCGGACCTCCGAAAAAGCTTAATTATGCTTGTAGCGCTTGTAGCGGTGTACCCAGACAAGCCAGATTCCCGAGGCCACGGCCTCATCCACCCGGCATGAGCCAGGCCCGGACACTGTCCGCGACGGCGGTTGCATCGCATCGCACCGCTCGTGGCGGTGCCTCCGCTCCTGCCACCACGGGGTGGGCGGCCTGCTCCCTGGGGCCGAGCTGGTCCTCGCGTTCCCGCTGCCCGACGAGCACGAGGACCAGGCCCCCCCGTGGCGGCTCGGCACAGTCGGGGCGGGGTATCTGTTCGTCGTCTTGGGCCTCATATGGTGGGGGCCTGCTCCGGCCCCCGGGGGCGATCAGAGAGCGAGTCGGGATGGAAAGCTGGGCCCCAGGGGGAGAAACCGAACGGTCAGCAGGCAGGCAAGCCTGGAGCTTAAGCTGCCCAGCTGCCTGGGGCTCAGGACCGCGGCGCCGGGGAGGCGCCGGAGGCCGCGCCTCCGAGGCTGGAGCCCATCTTCTGCTCACTCCCCGTCCGCGCCGTCGGCTTCGGCTTCGCCCTGAACTGCGACCGCATGGACCTCGTGGCCAACCGCGGGGACCTGCACCACGCGTCCCGGACGAACCAGGCCCTGCGCGACGCACTGCCGGCCGCGTTCGCGGGCGCCTGCGCGGCGCTGCCCCCGGTGGCCTCCCGCGCCCTCGCCTTCCTGGGCGAGCCCGTGACCGACCGCTTCTGGCGGCCGGCGCGCGAGGGCATCCTGGCGCAGCTGACGGGCATCGCCTGCGTCTCCACCGGGCTCGGGCTGAGCCGGCCCACCGAGGTGCTGCTGAGGGGCTCGGGGGCGCTGAGGGAGCTGGCCAGCCTGCTGCCAGCGGGCCTCGTGCGCGCGAGCTGCGGCCGGGCCTTTGCGGAGGCCTCGGACCCGGCGGAGGAGCGGCTGCTCCGGAGGCTCGGCGCGGAGGTCTTTTCGCTGGCGCACCTGTGCAGGTGCCTGGCCTTCTCTGGCGGCGAGTGGCCCGAGGGCTGGGTCGCCGCCACCTGGGCCAGAGGCCCGCCTGCGGAGGCCTGCGGCGCGCTGCGGGCGCTCTACAGGTGCCTGTCCGCCAGCACCTTCGACAGCGCGGCGGGCCCGCAGCCGCAGGAGCCCACGGGCGGCCCCGCCGGCCCAGCGCTCCCGGCGCTGCAGCTGACGGAGCTGCCCATCTTCCCGCTGGAGGCGGGCGGCTGCGCTCGCGTGTCGGAAGGCGGCGTGTTCCGCTGCCCGAGCGGCGGGCTGTCGCGGGAGCGGCAGGCGTCCCTGGCCAGGGCCGGGGCCCTGCGCCTGCTGCCCGCGGCGTTGGAGGCGTCGGTCTCGGCGGACACGGGCGCCTGCCGCCTGCTCGACGCCCTGGGCGTCGTGCGCCCGTCGCCGGCCGCCGTGGTCCGGGCGGCCGTCGAGGTGCATCTCCGGTACCGCTTGTCGTCCAACTGGGAGCTGCCGCCGCAGCAGCGCGCGGCGCTCCTCGGCTCCCTGGGCATCCTGGCGGAGGCATGGCGGCGCGGGGGCGCCGAGGGCGACCTGCAGGGTGTGCTTGAGGAGGTCCTCGTGGAGGTCGGTGCCCCTGCGCCCTCCCCCGGGGGCGCTGGCCATTTGCTGGCGGACGTGGTGTGGCTGCCCTCGCGTGGCGGTCGCTGGCAGGGGCCGCGGCGCCTGCTGTGCCCCAGCCTGCTGGGGACGAGCAGCGCTCTCGCCAGCGACATCCTCGAGCGCATCGAGGCATTCCTCGGCCAGAAGGCCCTGGACACGCCAGCCAGCGCCAGCCGCACCGCGCAGGGCTTCGGGTCTGCGCACTCCGCCCTGTCGCTGGTGCCAGACTTTGTGGACCGCGACATCTGCCCAGAGGGCGAGGCGCCTCTGGCCTGGGAGGCCTTCCTGGTCGACGCCGCCGGCGTGCACCCGCTGCGGCCGCTGGACCCGCGGCAGCCCCGGGCCCCGCCGGACCTGCTGCTCAACACCGGCATGGCCCTGGGCAACGATGGGCCTGGGGGGCTCTGGAGGACCCGGGGTGGCCGCGGCTCGGTCGGTGCGGCCGTTGTCGCCGTCGGCTGCGTTCGGTCGGTTCGGCTCGCTCGGCCGCTGCGCCGCGGCGCCCTCCTGGGCTGCCTGCGGCCCGTCGGTCTCGGCCCCGCTGCCGCCTCGGTCGGTGCTCGGCGGCCCCGCCGCCGTGCACGGCCCCGAGGACGCTGCTGGACACTGCGCGCGCCCCCGAGCGCGTCTGGCAGTATGCTCGCCGCCGCCTGGGCTGCGCCGCCGACGCCGCATGGCTCGCGGAGCTCCCGGCACGGGGCGGGGAAGCGGCGCCGCGTCTGCGGGGCCTCTTCCTGCGCTCCGCCTACCTGCCGCTGGCCGGGCCGGCCCTCGACGGGCTCTACCTCGACCTGCCCGCGGCGGACACCGCCGGCCGCGGGGCCACCATCCGGAAGCTGCTGGGCGGCCTCGGGGCCCGGTGCCAGCTGGACCGGGGCGGAACCGCCGCCGCGCTGAAGGCGCTGTTCGACCGCGGGTGCTCACGAGCGGGGCACGTAGCCATATCCACGCCCTCGCGGTCTGGGTCTCGGGGCGCGATCCCTCGCCGTCGCACGGCTTCGTTCCACGCGGGGCATCCGCGAGAACACGCCCCGCGGGGTCGCGGCCCAGGAGCCTGGCGCGCGAGGATGCGGGTAAAGATACTAAAGCCTTTCTCGCCCACGAGGTGCAGGGAGACCGCGGTGTTCGCGCGCGTCTACGCCGCGGCTGCGGGCCTCGACGAGGACGCCCGGGAGGGCGATGCCGTCGACGTGGACGAGAGGGCGCTGCGGTCCCTCATCTTCCACCCGGGCTGCGCGGGGAAGCTGCTGCGCGCGGGCGACTGCGTGTGGGAGGCCCAGAGGCGGCCTCACCGACCCCTAGCAAACGATCCCCTTCCGTGACGCCCCCCTCACCTCGCTCCAAGACGTGTGTGTGTGTGTGTGTGTGTGTGTGTGTGTGTGTGTGTGTGTGTGTGTGTGTGTGTGTGTGTGTGTGTGTGTGTGTGTGTGTGTGTGTGTGTGTGTGTGTGTGTGTGTGTGCGCGTGCGTGCGTGCGTGCGTGCGTGCGTGCGTGCGTGCGTGCGTGCGTGCGTGCGTGCGTGCGTGCGTGCGTGCGTGCGTGCGTGCGTGCGTGCGTGCGTGCGTGCGTGCGTGCGTGCGTGCGTGCGTGCGTGCGTGCGTGCGTGCGTGCGTGCGGGTGCGTGCGGGTGCGTGCGTGCGGTGTGCGGGTGCGTGCGGGTGCGTGCGGGTGCGTGCGGGTGCGTGCGTGCGGGCGTGCGTGCGGGCGTGCGTGCGGGCGTGCGTGCGTGCGTGCGTGCGTGCGTGCGTGCGTGCGTGCGTGCGTGCGTGCGTGCGGGCGTGCGGGCGGGCGTGCGTGCGTGCGTGCGTGCGTGCGTGCGTGCGTGCGTGCGTGCGTGCGTGCGTGCGTGCGTGCGTGTGTGTGTGTGTGTGTGTCTGTGTATGTGTGTGTGTGTGTGCGGCCGGAGGGAAGTCTGGAGAGGCGAGGGTGGCATCATGGAAGGGGATGGTTTGCCAGGGGTCGGTTGGGCCGCGCCCGAGAGGCGCCCACGGCGAAGCTCCTGGCCGGCTGCTCCGCGCTGGTCCCCCTGCGCGACGTGTACGGGCCCTTCGGGGAGCGCAGGCTCGAGCGCTACTTCGCGGCGCGCGGCGTGCAGGGCGGCCTGTGCACCGCCAGAGCGTACCTGGCCGCGCACGAGCAGCTCTTCTCGAAGAAGCGACCACGGCACAGAGGTACGGTAGGGGCGCTCGTTAAGGAATGCCACCCTGGAGGCTTCAGACCCTGGAGGGTTCCTTATCTGGTGAAGGCGGCGGGGACATCCATGGCGGCCAATCCCCGATTCGAGCCCCACGGGCTTCCAGACCGCGGACACCCACCGTCGGCCATCGCGCGGGGCTGCAAGGCCATCGCCAACAGGGTCCAGAGGGCCGCCCTTGCCGCGAGGGCGCGGGGCGGCCCCTGAAATCCATTCCTTGGCATGCGAGTGCCTGGCCTCGGTTGGGCACGCGGCGAGGTAAGAATGCCCTCGCCATCGCCTTTGGAGGTCCGGGCGGATGGCGAGGATCGGTGCTGGACCCCCCTCCGCGCGCCAGGGACGGCGACGGAGGCGCCGCCGGGGGGACCAGCACCGATCCAAGAAATCCACGCGGACCTCTGAAAGTTTACCTTCGTGCCGTTGCTTCCTCTTCGATCTTCCGGGCCGCGGAGGACCTGGGCCGCAAGTGGCTCGTCGCGAGGACGCCGCAGGGCGTGTCGGTTGACCTGCAGGGGCAGCCCGGCATGCCGCTGTCGAGCGTGACGGCGGACACCTTCCTGGCGGAGGTCTGGCCGGCGCTGGTGGGCCTGTACCGAGGCACGCGCCGTCCAGGGGCAGCGTCAGGGGAGGCATCTTTCCACGAGGGGCCTTCGGGCGTTTCCTTCGGTTCTCGTCGGGGCTCCAGCCTCGGCCTGCCCCCCAGCGGCTGCGCCTCGCCGAGAGCTTTCCGGGGTCGCCCGGATCGTCGCGAACGGCCGCCGGCTTACAACCCGAAGCCAGGACGACGAGGATCAGTGCGGGGGATAGGCTCGGGGGGGAAACGCGTCGACCCCCACGTCGTCGATGGATCGCGATAGAGGTCCGGATAGCCCTCCCCGCCCGGGAGCGTGCGGTTTCGCTGTCGGGGGCCTCTCGCCGATCTGTCGGCCACGCACCGGCGATTCCAGGTCGACGTTGCCCCCGCCCCCCTAGCCATCCTGGCGTTCTCCTCACCCATGAGGCAAGCGGGCCCTGCGGACAAACGGGCCGTGGGACTTCTTCAGCGTTGGCTGAGCCCGCTCGGGGCACTCCCCGGGCCCAAGGGCCGCCAAGGGACGACTCTGGACAAGGTGCTGGTCCCCAGGGGAGGGCCCCCACCCAGACCTCTGACGTCGTGTTTATTGTTCTCGACACGCCAGAGGGCCGCTTCCTTTGGGCTTGCTGTTCGTCCAGAGTCGAGTCGTTCTGCGGGTGGTCCCGGGGCCTTGGAGGCCGAACACAGTTTTGCAATGACGCGACCGAGGAGCCCCACACATTTTTGTTTTGTGTCGTGTGTGTGTGCTGATGTGCAGCTGTATGCGGAAGGTCCCGCCACCGTGACCCAGCATTTTTGGTTGCGATGTTGCGAGGGGGCACGGCAGGCCGTCACGTGTGGCATGCCGTGTCCCAAGGCTTGGGGGGCAGTGATGACTATGAGGATGATTGTGACGATGACGATGACGATGACGATGATGATGATGATGATGATGCTGATGATGATGATGATGATGATGATGATGGTGATGATGTTCGTGATGATGATGATAATGGTCATGGTCATGGTTATAATCATGATCATGATCATGGTGATGACGATGGCGATGACGATTATATTGATGACAATGATGATGCTTGTGATAACGATGAATATGGTGATGGTGATGATGATGGTGATGATGCTGATGGTGATGATGTTGATGATGATGCTGATGATGGTGATGATGATGACGATGACTATGATTCCGATGCTGTTGATGATGATGATGACGATGATTATGATTCCGATGCTGTTGATGCTGGTGCTGATGCTAATGCTGATGCTGCTGCTGCTGACGATGATGATGGTGATGGTGGTGAAAAGGAGGAGGAGGAGGAGGAGGAGGAGGAGGACGAATATGAGGATGAGGTTGTGGATACTGAGGATGATGTGAAGGAGGAGGAAGAGGAGCAGGAGGAAGAGGAGGAAGAAGAAGGCCGTCACATGTGCCACCTTTCGTCTTCACTTTTCGACACGCTCTCATGAACCTCGGTTGCGCTGTCTTGCTGCTGTCTTGGGGCTGTCCTGGGCTCCCGTGGAGCAATCTGGGGGGTCGCTTGGGGTCCTCTTGGGCAGTCTCGGGGTCCTCTGTGACTGTCTTGGGTCCCTCTTAGGTCCCTCGTGGCCATCTGGGGGATCTCTTGGAGGCCTCTTGGGGGACCGGGACTGGTGGGCACTCAGAGTCGAGAATTTCGCCACGTGGCTCATCAAGCAATGCGGTGGCACGCGCTGAGCTGCGCCCTCGCAGGCCCCTTCGGGGACGCAGCCACTCCCCACCGTCTTGCGCCTTCCAGGAGTCCGCTTAGGCCGTCTCGGATCTCTCCAGAGGCCCTCTGAGGCCACCCTGGGGTCATCTCGGGTTCGTCCTGGGCCTTCGAGGGCCATCTCGGGCCGTCTTGAGGCTGTCTCGGATGGCTCTTGGGCTTTCTTGAGGCCGCCTCGGGTCATTGTAGGGCAATATTGGAGGCTTCTGGGGCCCTGCTGAGCCTACTGAAGACCGAAAAGGCAGGAAAGCGAAACGGTTTGAGAAAAACAGCTGGAATCAATGATTTGGGCATCTTCGGGCCCTGCTGAAAGAATTGTCTTGGAGCCGTCTGGAAAGCCTCTTAGGCAGTCCTGAAGCCATCTTGGGGCTGTCTTGAGGCCATACGGGGTCGTCTTGGAGACATCTTGGGCCATCTTGGCGGCCCTGGTGGCCTGCCTGGGCCATCCTCGACACCCTGGAGAGCGCCCTCGGCGAGAGGAGGGGGCGCTGCGCGCGGGCCAGCGCGACGAGAGGGGGCGGGTGGTCCATGGCAGACTGCAGGAATCCTGCCAGACGGCACTTGGCATTCCAGTACGCCCCAACTGGGTAGTCGAAGGCCAGACTGGCAGATTGGATTGGGCCCCAAGGGCCAATCTGGCTTGGCCAAATTGGAGGATTTGGGTTATTCGCCCGACTGGATTCGCGTTGGCTCCCTCACCAGATTGCCCCCGTTTGCCAGATTGGGCCTGCCAGATTGGCGCCAGATTGGCTTCGACTACCCAGCCCAACGTGCCAGGGGGCCACCGTGGCGGATTCGATGTCGCATGCCAAATCCTGCTGTTTCGTTGTCAGAACCGTGCACGAGCACCGACACAGGTTTCAGCAGGTTCGTCACCAGCCACCGCCTCCTGCTATCGTCGCCGTTCCTTCATGCGGCAGCTCGTGATATCGGATGCAAGGCGCGTCCAGCTACTGAGGTTTAAGCCAGCGGCCGTAGCCATCAAACGCGAATTTGACCAGTCTGTCTGTGCCATTGTTGCCCACCTATTTTCGCAAATTTGCCACACTACGTCGACGCCCATCTCGATCAATCTGCTTGAGAGAGTGATGCACGGCTGTGGCAGCGCGGCACGTGCTCCTTTTGGAGGCATGAGTTGTGCTTGCTGTCTTTGAGCTGGTTTGAGCCGAGGTGTCCACAGGTTTGACTATTGAGCAGAAGCCCTCGCCCGCTCATCTGGTTGCAGACCCCCTCTGGCGTCGAGACGGTGCCGCGCCTACCACGCTTTGCGACATTGGCGCGTGTGGCGCCCCGACCCCCTGCGAACCCCTTGTGGCGTTGAGAGAGTGCCACGCCTGCCGCGCTTTGCAACAGTAGCGCGCGTAGCGCCCCCACCCCCTGCGGACCCCCCCTGGTGTCGAGAAAATGCCGCGCCTGCCACGCTTTGCAACATTGGCGTCGAGAAAGTGCAGCGCACGCCACGGTTTACAACATTTGCGCGCATGGAGCCCCACCCCGTGCGGACCCCTTACGGTGTCGAAAAAGGGCTGATCTTGCCACGCGTTGCGACATTGGCGCGCATAGCAACCCCACTCCTTGCGAACTCCCTCTGGTGTCAAGAAAGTGCCGCGCCTGCCACGTTCTGCGACTTGGGCGCGCGTGGTGCCCCTATCGCTTGCGGACTTCACCTGTCATCGAAAGGCGTCGCCTGCAACGCTTTGGGACATTGGCGCGCATAGCCCCCCCGCTGCGGACCCCCTCTTGGTGTCCAGGGGGTGCTGCGCCTAGCGCCCCAACCCCCTTGCGGACCCATGTCGGGGAAGTGCCGCGCCTGTCACGCTTTGCAGCGTTGGCGCGCATTGCGTTCCCACCCCCTGCGGCCCCCCTTTCTGGTGTCGAGAAAGTGCCACGCCACCTGACACCATTGGCGACATTGGCGCGCATATCGCCCCCCCCCCCCCCCCCCTTCTCCCTTGGCCTACAACGCTTTACAGAATTGGCGCTCGTAGCGCCCCCACCCCCCGCGGACCACCTCTGGTTTCCAGATAATGCCGCGCCTGCCACGCTTTGCGACACTGGCGCGCGTAGTGCCCCCCTTTTCGGACCCCCTCTGGCGTCGAGAGAGTGCCACGCCTGCCATACTGGTGCGCGTAGCGCCCCCCAACCCCGTGTGAACCCCCTGACGGTGTCGAGCAGTTGCCGTGGCTGCCACGTTTTGTGACATTGGCGCGCGTAGGGCTCCCCCCCCCTGGCGCCACCCCCTGCGTCGAGACAGTGCGGCAGGCGTAAACCAGCGTTGAATTGTGCCTGTGTGTATGTGTGCCTGTGAAAAGGTATGTGTATGTGTGCGTATGTGTGTGTGTGTGTTGTGTGTGTTGTGTGTTGTGTGTTGTGTGTGTTGTGTGTGCGTGCGTGCGTGCTTGCGTGCGTGCGTGCTTGTGTGTGTGTGTCTGTGTGTGTGTTTGTCGGTGCGTGTGTGTGTGTTTGTGTGGGTGCGTGCGTGTGTGTGTGTGTGTGTGTGTGTGTGTGAGTGTGTGTGTGTGAGTGTGTGTGTGTGAGTGTGTGTGTGTGTGTGTCGGGGCGTCTCCTCCCTCCTCCTCCTGCATGGTGGCTTAGTTCGCGTTTCGTGCTCCTACCAACGCCCTATCGCCAGCGCGTTGACTCTGCCAAGCCGCCGACGGAAAAAGTATGCGTGTGCGCGTGTGCGCGGGTGAACGTGCGGCTGCAGGTGTGTGTATATCTAGCGTGTGTGTGTGTGTGTTTGTGGCTGTAAGTATGTGCGTGTCTTGTGCGTTTGTGTCTGTATGTGTGCGTGCCCCCCCTGGTGCCGAAACGTACGGCAAACGCAAACCAGCGTGGTCATGTGGTTGTGTGCGATCGCGGCTGTAAGTGTGTTTGTGTGTGTCCGATGTGTGTGTGTGTGTGAGTGCGCAATGTCGGTTTCCGTATGTCTGATGAGTGTACGAGCGAGACGGAGGAGGTGGAGGCGGAGGGGGGGGGTGAAGAGGAACGGGGGTGCGACGAGGGCGGGGGAAACATCAGGATCCCATGGAGCATGTGGGGAGCAGCCGGGGCAATACTTCCCGTCGCGGTGTCTCCACGACGCGGAGATGCCAGGGAGTGCCCACGATTTGCTTCCACTAGTACCTGCTTGCTTCATGCCGAGGCATGGCGGGCCTCCCCGACGAGGAGAAGGCGGCGCTGCGCCCGTTCTCGCCCGCCGTGGAGCGCATCCTCGTGCCGCTGCGGTGCCCCGAGGGCGGCCCCCCAGAGAGCACCTCGATGCTGACGGTGGCCTGCTTCCACGACGGCGCCACCTTCCGGCGGCTGTCCGTCGGGCAGGCCTTCTGGGAGGTGGCGCAGGACCTTTTGGAAGAAGGAAAAGCGCCATAAGCATAAAAGGTTGGCGCGCCGTGCGGATTTCTTGGATCCGCGCTGGGGCCCCCTGGCGGCCCCTCCGGCGCCGCCCCTGGCGCGCTCCGCGCGCCAGGGAGGGCGTTCTAGCCCAGATCCAAGAAATTCGCGCGGACCTCCGAAACTTTCTGTTTCTGCCTGCCCTAACCCAGCCATGAGGCAGGCGGGTCCTGAAGGAAACGGGTCCTGGAGTTTTGCGCGCCGCTCTCGGCGCTCAGGGGCTCCCCCTGGGCCCAGGACCGTAAAAGAACATTTCAATACTAGCAGTGACCCGAGGGGGAGGGGCCCGTGGAGCCAAGCAGGTGTTCTACTGGACGATGGGTGTTCTGACGATCCCAAGCGCAAGGGTATGGCGAAGCATGCGGTGATGATCAAATGATGCGAGATCTCCCGTACGCGCTGAAACCCAGAGAAGAGCAACAGCATAATTTCGATCGCGGCAGGTTAATTCAAGCTCCTCCTTGTTTCAAAAGTACCAACGGATACTTTTTCAGCGGGCGGCATCGCCGCGTTCAGGCGGGAGGCAGCGCGAAGCCCAGGTCTGTTGCGAGCTACTCTGCCTTAACCCTGGAGTTCACCGCTGTCTTGTGAAATTTCTTGAGCGCCTTATGCAAGGACGCCAGCGGCCCGCGCTCTTGACGCTTGCGGCCAGAGAATCTTTATGTTCCGCATGTCTGCGGCGCGGAATAACATGACGTAGTAGTGCAGCCACCACTGCTCGTCGGAGATGCCCGTGCGGCCAGCGTCCTCGTCCGTGGTGCAATCGATGGTGACTCCCTTGCGCAGCCTCTGACCCTGCGACAGTGTGGAGGTCAAGCAGGACGCGTGCGTCATGGTGAACTCCGAGCGGCGCACGACGTGCGGGCCGAGCTCCACGTGAGTCCTGTTCGCGTGGGCTGAACATGAGCAAACTCCTCGTCCGCGCCTCGGCTTCGCCGTCGTCGTCAGCGCATTCGGTGCCCTGTAGCAACAGCTCGGCGACCTGGTCAACCGGAGGTTTCTTGAACCCGTGCGCCTGCATCCAGATTCCTTGCGATGGGAAGCGGGAGCGAAAGAGTTGGCCCAGAGCGCATTCCTCGCACAATTGCTCGTCTTTTACGGGTAAGTATCGACAGACACAACGGTGGCCCGTTGCTCCTGCACAAGCCCCAACTTCTTCAGCTCCTCCTGCACGGCTGTGATCCGAAGCTCCATGCCGACGTGAGCCGGCAAAACCATCCGCGCCCCGGAGACAAGGTTTCCCCCCTGCCCCCGATTCGGCCGACGATGGGCTACCGCCGCAGACCTGGACATAAGGGTTGTCCCCCCTGCGCCCGACCGTCGCCGTCGTCCACCTGGATTCGTGTTCCTCTTTTCCCTCTTCTGATGGCCTAAGGAAGTAGCCCGTAAGGGACCTGCTAACGAGGCTCCCGCTCGAGACTTCTTCGGCATTCGTTCACAGACCAGTTACCGATCGAACCCTCCGCCGAATTCAGGCTTCGCGAGACCAAACTTGACGAGTGTCACAGGTTTGGGGATGGCCGCCTCGGATGGGTAGCGTGACGCGCGGTCCTCATGGGGACGGGGCTCCCGCTCGACATTTTCCCCGCCACCCACTCACAGTCGAGACTCCCGCTCGGGACCCCCATCGGATTCAGGTCCCACGACCCCCAAAATGGCGACGGCTACAGGTTTGGCGGTGGCCGCTTCGGATTGGTAACGTGACGTGCGGTCCCCATAATAAGGAGGGAGCTCCGGCTCGAAACTCCTTCGCCATCCATTCACAAACGAGGCTCCCGCTGAGGACCTTCCTGAAATTCAGGCCGCAAGACCCCATAAGTAATGACTGTTACAAGTTTGAGGAGGGCCACTTCGGATTAGTCACATGACGCGTGGTCCCCGATTCAGACGTCTTCCATATTCACGTTTCAAGAACCCAATCGTGACGACAGTAACAGATTTGAGGATGGCCGCCCCGGATTAGCAACATGAAGTGCGGGTCCCGCAGGCAGGGCTCTCCCGCTCTTTACTGCCTCGCTATTCGCTAACAGATGAGGATCCCGCTGAAGGCTCTTTGGTTGTGACGCTGATGGTGACGATGATGATGCTGATGCTGATGCTGATGAGGATGAGGATGGGGATGGTGATGATGATGATGATGATGATGATGATGATGATGATGACGATGGTGATGGTGACGATGGTGTTGATGTTGGTGCTGATGCTGCTGATGATCATGATGCTGATGATAATGATGCTGGTGATGAGAAGGGGGCTGAGGATGCTGATATATGTGTGTGTGCGTGTCCATATGTTGCTTCCTGCGCGGGGCGCCCATATAAAGCAACAGCCCCACCGAGGACGTGGGGGACTAAGGGTGTGGGAGCACTTACACGTTCTTGCAGGTGGATGCCACATCCATATGAATCGCCAACACAGAGTTGCACAGGAATGCCCCACTAACATTTTCAACCGTTTGATACACCGCCGTTACAGCACACCGTGGGGTCACGTGATTTTGGGCTTACCGATATAGCAAGTGATGTGTTGTTGTGTGGTTTTGGGATCAAAATACACAGACACCCTCTTCCGTACTCAGACTCAGCGGCATCACTTCCGCACTCAGACTCACTCACTCAGATTCACACACACACACACTCAGACTCACTCATCATTCAGACTCAGTGATCGAATCATTCACACACGCAGACTGTGCGGATGTCTCAGGCGAGGCGCTGGTTTCAGCACTCCCAAGTGGGGGCGGCAAGGGGGGGCTGCACGGGCCCGTCCGCGCCCAGATTGTGTGAATGTCTCAGGCAGTTTGTCTTTTCGCATGCGCAACATCCTTTGTTTTCGGAGCAGTTTGCGAGGATGTCTCGGGTCAATCGCTGGTTTCCGCACTCCCAGGAGGGGGCGGCAGAGGGAGTGTCGCACGGCCCGTTCGCGCCCAAATTGTGGGGATGTGTCAGGCGGTTTGTTGGTTCGCGTGCGCAGCATCCTTTGCTTCTGGAGCATTGTGTGAGGTTGTTTCAGGCGATTCCCTGCTTTCAGCACCTCCAGGGGGGGCGGCAGGGGGGTGTCGCACGGGCTTGTTTGCGTCCAGATTGTGGGGATGTCTCAGGCGGTTTGCTTGCTCGTATGCGTAACATCTTCTGCTCTCTGAACAGGTTGTGAGGATATCTCAGGCGAGACGCTGGTTTCAGCACACCCAGGTTGGGCGGAAGGGAGTATCAAAACTGCTTGTTTGTTTTCATATTGCGAGGAGGAGGAGGAGCAGGAGGAGCAGGAGGAGGAGGATCAAAAACAGGAGCAAGAGCAGGAGCAGGAGCAGGATAAGGAGCAGAAGCAGGAGCAGGAACAAGAGCAGGAGCAGGAACAGAAGCAGGAAAGGGAGGATGATGACTAGAAGGAGGACGAGCAGCAGGAGAAGGAGGAGGAGGAGGGGGATGGGAGGAGGAGGAGGAAGAGAAGGAGGAGGAGGCGGGAGGAGGAGGAGGAGGACGGAGGAGGAGGAGGAGGAGGAGGCCGGAGGAGGGAGCTGGAATTTGGGCGCAGATGGGGGCAGAGGAGGAGGAGGGAAGAGAGAGGTCACATTCACACTGCGCTGGAGTCGGGACACATCCACAGTTCGCCGGAATCGGTCCAGATGATTGAGGAAGAGGAAGAGGCGGAGGAGGAGGAGGAGGAGGAGAAGGAGGAGCAGGAGGAGGAGGATCAAGAACAGGAGCAAGAGCAGGAGCAGGAGCAGGATAAGGAGCAGAAGCAGGAGCAGGAGCAAGAGCAGGAGCAGGAACAGGAGCAGGAAAGGGAGGATGATGACTAGAAGGAGGAGGAGCAGCAGCAGGAGGAGGAGGAGGGGGAGTGGGATGGGGAGAGGATGAGGAGAAGGAGGAGGAGGAGGATGAGGACGGAGGAGGAGGAGAAGGCCTGAGGAGGGAGCTGGGATTTGGGCGCAGAGAGTGGCTGAGGAGGAGGAGGAGGAGGAGGAGGGAAGAGAGAGGTCACATTCACACTGCGCTGGAGTCGGGTCACATCCACAGTTCGCCAGATTCGGTCCGGATGACTGAGGAGAAGGAGGAAGAGGCGGAGGAGGAGGAGGAGGAGGACTGGAGGTGTCTTGAACAAGAAGCTCGCCCTCAAACACAGGCGCCCATTGACGGATATTCATAGACAGATGTGCCAGGAATGTGAGATGCACATTTGTGGATCTCCGCGTTGAGAAATTAGATGTGTAGAACATAAGGAATGATTAACAAACGTAGAAGTTGTTGCAACATCGCAACTGGTGATTGCTTCATTTTGCCACCCCCGTTCACGAACAAGGTGGCCCACAAAAAGGAATGTCTGTGTAACCCGCAACATATAGAAACTTTCGTTTGTTGCTATGACAGGAATCCTGCTGCAATCTGCCACAAAAAAAGAACTCCTAGTGCAATCCGCTACGAGAGGAGTCCTTGTAAGAATCTGCCACAAGTGGATTCCTGTTGCAATGGGGCCCGCAAGGAATCCTAATTGCAACCAGCCGTACAAGGAATCCTCTTGCAAACGCTAACGAAAGAAGTCCTTTTGCAGCAATTTGCACAGAAGAACTCTTTGCTGATCAACCATGCAGGGGGGCCTCTTGCAATCTGCAACAATCGAAATCTTTGCCGCAGTCCGCCACATAAGGAATCCAATTGTAATGCGCCTGCAAAGGAATCCTGTTTTAATCGGCAACATCAGAAATACGCTGCCACAAAAGAAAGGCGGCTGTAGTCCCCTACAAATGGAATCATTTTTTGTAATCCGCCACAGCAGAACTTCTGTTGCATCAAGTCACAACATGATATTGCTTCGCAGCTTGTCACACAGGAAAACCCCGTTGCTACAAACATGAATTCATGTGGAACGCCCGCACAACAAGGAAGCGTTGCCTAATATCGTTACGAAGCAGACGCAACAACAACATAAACAGTATAAGAAAACATAATAACTCCAGCACCGAAAACAAACCCTGGCGACGGACCCGACCAGAAGCAGGCGTGCGTACCGCAAGGCAGGTGGAACGGAGGATGGGGAAGTCCTTATGGGACCAAAACCCGTGTGAGGGATGTGCAGAAGTGGGGAGGTGCCGCCTTGCGGGCATTGGCATCGGCGCCGTGGGCGGAATTTCCCATGGCTTGTAGGGCCAGGAAACGTGTGAGAGGTGTGCCGGCATGAAGTGCCGACGCCATTCAGACCCTGACATCGGGGCCTTAGCTAGAGCTCCCGATGGGGCCACAACACGTGTGAGGATTGCGCCGGAATGAAGCACCGACGCCAAGCGGACTGGTTTTGGGCCTTAGCTGGGGCTCCCGATGAGGCCACGGAACGTGTGAGGGGTGCGCCGACATGAGGCACCGCCGCCATGCGGACCTTGGCATTTGGGCATTCGATGGAGCTCCCTATGGGGACACGCAGCGTGTGAGAGGTGTGTCAAAGTAAGGCACCCCCGTCGTGCGGACCTCGGCATTTGGGCCTTCGCTGGAGCTCCCTGTGGGGCCACGAAACGTGTGAGGGGTGTGCCGAACCGGTGTTGGCGCTCTCATGCGGACCCTGGCATTTGGTCCTTGGCTGGAGCTCCCTATGCGGCCACTAAATGTTTAAGGGTGTACCGACATGGACACGGGAGGGCTGAGGCAGGAACGGGATGCGGATGGCGGTGGTGTTGATGGTAACGATGTTGATTTTGATGACGATGAGGATCCGCGGAGGGCAGAGGCAGGGATGGGAGGAGGGGGAGGACGATATTGCAAAACAACGATTCCCTCCAAGTGCCCTGATCACCGGCCCCTACACGGGTTGATTTTCATTGAAGGAAGTGCCCCGTTGGAAGACAACCGTTTGAAAACCCTGAACTGCGCCAGAACACGATTCCTGGGATTTCAACTCCGCGAATCACCAGTATTGTTGCGCATGACGGCTCTGAGTTGTGCCAGAACCTCAACACCACGGATGAACATAAGTGTTGCGACCTGACAGTTCGACATCGTGCCAAAGCGTAGCTGTAAGTCTCTATGTACGCTGACCATGGGAATGTTTGCAACTATTGCGAACTTTCAAACAAATGCACGCGGAGCTAAGCGAGAGCCGCATGTTGAGAAGGAGTGGCCCTCTATTTGCGAAACTGCTGCGAACTGTTGAGTCGAATTCTGCGCGGCGCAGAGGCGAGAGCCACATTTTGAAAACCACCCGCCCTCGATCAGTGAATCCGTTACAAGCTTTTCAGACGAATGTGCGCGGCGCGTGGGCGAGAGCCACTTTTTGAAGACCACCCGCCCTCCATCCGTGAAGATGCTGCAAACGTTTAAGACGGATGTGCGCAGCGATAAGGCGAGAGCCACATTTTGAAAACCACCCGCCTTCCATCCGTGAAACTGCTGCAATAGTTTTAAGACGAATGTGCGCGGCGCTGAGGCGAGAGCCACATCTTTGAAATGGCCCGCCCTCCATCCGTGAAGCTGTCGCAACGCTTCAGGATCATAAATCGTGAGGAAATCTCAGGCGAAACGCCCGGCCCGCCCTTTCGACAGGCCTCGGGGTGCGACAAGAAGGAGCTATGTATGAGGAAAGGAGTGGAAGAGGATGAGGAGGAGGGAGGAGGAGGAGGAGGAGGAGGAGGAGGAGGAGGAGGAGGAGGAGGACGCGGGGCGCTGCTGATTCAAAACGAGCACCCAGGTCAACACAGGATGTTTGGGAACTCGACAGCTCCTCGTCAGCGATACCCCAGGCTTGGCCCCACGGGAGGGGCCCCGGGGTCCAGGACCCGTGCCCCTCGCGGCCCGGGGCTCTCGATGCTGCAGAGGACCTCGCGCACACCCGCGCGGGCGAGTGGGCGCTGTCGGCCTTCTTCCCGCCCGAGCTGCGGGGCCTCTTCGTCGACTGCCTCGGCGTGCGCGAGGTCGTGAGCAGGGAGACGCTCTTCGAGGGCCACCGCCAGGATCTACGGGGCCCCCCGATGGGGTCAGCGTGGGTGGGGCCAGAGGATCGCGCCGCATCGCCGATGCATCGGCGACGCGGCTAAACGTGAAGCCCGATTTCCACGCCAACGTCGCCGATGCATCGCTGACGCATCGGTGTTGCATCGACGATGCGGCTCGATCCTCCGACCCCATCAACTCCGATTCCATTTGGGAGGTCACCGCCAGGAGGGATAGTCTCAGGGGGGACGCAACCACCACAAATCGCCCCCTGATCGCCAACAGGAGCCCGACAGACCCGCCCGCCTAGGAGAGTGCGGATTCGCTATCGTGGGCATATCGCCGATGGATCGGCGATGTATCGCCGATCCAAGCTCGATGTTTCGCCCCCGTGGTCTTCAGGTCATAACTCGGCTCTCCGGCGGCCGTTCGGGAGGATCCGGGCACTCCAGGAACGCTTTCGACAAGGCGCAGCCGTTGGAAGGCATCTTGAGGCTGCAAGGGCCGCCGAGAAGCAACGAAGACGCCCGAGAACTCCAAATCTCGCAACTCGAAGCTTCTTAACACCCCCCCCCTCCCAGCGCCCCCTCCCGCCCCTGACGTTCCCCTTCACAGGAGGGGCGGCACCGCCGCGCGCGGGATGACCGCGCCGCGGCCCCCGCGGCGGGCTTCCACAGGGAGCGGTCGGTCAACGAGAGCGGCCTGCCCGACGACCTCCTCGCGGGCTGCCCGTGGGAGGGCCGCGCAGGCCGCGGCGGCAGGGGCGTGAGCCTGCAGGACGGGGGTCAGAGGAGGAAAGGGTATCCATACTGCTACCCTTGCCTCGTCTCCCCCCTTTGGGGGCCTCCTGGAAGGCCCTCGTCGCCACCGCTGGATGCGCGCCCTGGGAGAGATCCGGGGAGCAGCAGTATCGGTACCTGGTGGCTTCCTCAGGGGAGGGAGGAAAAACGTCTGCACAAAAATGTTGGCTTTCGGATCGGAGCTGGACCCTCTACTTCCACCAGGCCCCCATCGGTTGGGCCATAAAGATATCACGGCGGGGGCGGGTCGGCCGCTTTCGGGGTCCAGGGGCCCTGGACGGGCTCCGGAATGTTAAGAAAAACATTCACCATGAAAGGCCGTCCTCAGGAATGGGTCTTGACTTCCAAGGCCCACGTTGTCAACAATCAAGGAAGGAAAAACCACCCAGACTCGGCCCTGGGCGTTTACTAACAGCCCTGCCCTGTTTGATTACTTCTTTGGGGAAGTTTACTAAACGACTTCGCGTGTCGGGGTGATAATTATGGGGGTGGATTTAACACCTTTGAACAAGACTCATTTCATTGGGAGTCTGGATCCCTGGCTCGCGGAGCGCCAGGGAGAAAGAATTGCACAACAACGTAATTATTAGACTTTCGGGTCGGAGCTGGACTCTGTGCAGTCCCTTCCCTCGCATTCCGCCTCTGGGGCCCATAACGGGGCCCTGGGACCATCAAAAATGATTCCAGGACGAAAGAGTAACCCCAGAGAGGAGGTTGGGAGTTCAGGGGCCGCGCATTGAAAAAGTTTGAACGGTGGGTATCTTGGCCTGGTGCACGGAACGCGGCAGTGGCGGCGCCTCCGGCGCCGCCAGGGGGTGGCCAACCCTGATCCGAGAAATCCCCGCGGACCTCCGACAGTTTCTGTACACCCTGACATCCAACGTCGCGGACAAAGATGCAGCATCGTCGGGAATCTCGGCATCTGTAAGGCCGGATCGATCCGCCATGGGGCTCGACATAGCCAGGGCAGCGCTGAGTGGGGATAGGCTCAGGGGTGCACGCATCGACCCCTGGTCGCCCATTTATCGCCGATGGGGCCCCGGCAGCCCGGCCCCGCGCGCGAACGTGCCGATTCGCTATCGCGGGCATATCGCCGATCTGTCGGCGATGTATCACCGATTCCACCTCCATGTTTCCCCCCTGAGCTGAGCTGATCCCTTCTCACGTCGCCCCTCATTCGGAGGCGCCGCCAGGACTTGGCCAGCGCCAATCTACGAAATCCGGGCGAACTTCCGAAGGCTTCTTTTCACCCCGAGAGCCAACGTCGCCCCACTTCGAACACAAAAATGCAGCGTCGCGGGACATCGCGACAAAAGCCCCAGATTCTAACTTTCTGCGGCACTTCTCGAGCCGGATCGACCAGTGAGGGCCCTGGGGCCCGACGTAAGGCGAGATCCCCTGGTGTGAGCCCCAGACATCCCATGTCTTTGATTTGTGTTGATGCTGGGCCCCCGGAAGTCCCGACCTCTTCCCCAGGCTCGGTTTTTCGTCCCGAGTGTTTTTGTTAGTCCCAGAGCCCGCCGAGGGCCCCCACACCCCGAAATTTTATCAAAAATTCTTTACGCTTCGCGTATCCCCACCAGCCCATCTCACAGCAGCAACTCTCGCGAAGCATGCCGACAGTCGTGTTTTTCAGGCGTGTGTCCGCTTGGCCCCGCATATCTCCCCTGTTCCTCCTTCCTCCCGCCTCCTTGTACATCCTCCTTGTGAGGGGAGCGGGAGAAGGACGAGGCGGAGGAGGAGGGAGAGAAAGCGCTCCTCGTGATTTGAGTCGTTTGGGGTTTCTCGTCCTGGTGTGAGTCGTTCGGGCCCTTCTTCCTGGTGTGAGTCGTTCGGGCTCTTCGTGGTGTGAGTCGTTCGGGCTCTTCGTCCTGGTGTGAGTCGTTCGGGCTTCTCGTGGTGTGAGTTGTTCGGGCCCCTCATCCTGGTGTGAGTCGTTCGGGCCCCTCCTCCTGGTGTGACTCGTTCGGGCTCCTCGTGGTGTGAGTCGTTCGGGGCCCGCGTCGTGGTGTGAGTCCTTCGGGCTCCTCGTGGTGTGAGTCGTTCGGGCGCCTCGTCCTGGTGTGAGTCGTTCGGGCTCCTCGTGGGGGGGGCCTCTGGGATCCTCGTGGGGCCTCCTGGGGGCCTCTTGGGGGCCTCTTGGGGGCCTCTTGGGGGCCTCTTGGGGCCTCGTGGGGCCTCTTGGGGGCCTCTTGGGGGCCTCTTGGGGGCCTCTTGGGGCCTCGTGGGGCCTCTTGGGGGCCTCTTGGGGGCCTCGTGGGGGCTTCTTGGGGCCGCTTGGGGGCCTCTGGGGGGCCTCTTGGAGGCCTCTTGGGAGCCTCCTGGGTGCCTCTTGGGGTCATCTTGGGGCCTCGTGCGACCTCCTCAGAAGCGCAAATGAGAGCTGCCCCCTGAGAAGGACATTATTCACTGCGTGGGGATCCCCATATGTGCATCTCCTTGCTGGCGCTCCCTTGGTGGTGGGACTCGGTGAGGACGAATCTGGATTTAAGTGTGACTGAGCTGCCTCTCTCTCTGCTCTCTCTGCTCTCTCTGTCTCTCTCTCTCTCTCTGCCCTCTCTCTGTCTCTGCCTCTCTTTCCCTGCCTCTCTCTCTCTCTCTCTGCCTCTCTCTCTGCCTCTGTCTCTCTGCCTCTCTCTCTCTCTGCCTCTCTCTCTGTGCCTCTCTCTCTCTGCCTCTATCTCTGCCTCTCTCTCTCTCTCTCTCTCTCTCTCTCTCTCTCTCTCTATTCTCTCTCTGCTCTCTCCTCTCTCTCTCACTCTCCCTCTCTCTCTCTCTCTCGCTCTCTCTCTTCTCTTCTCTTCTCTTCTCTTCTCTCTCTCTCTCTCTATCTCTCTCTCTCTCTCTCTTTCTCTCTCTCTCTATCTCTCTCTCTCTCTTCTCTCTCTCTCTCTCTCTTCGCTCTCTCGCTCTCTCTTGCTCTCTCTCGCTCTCTGTCGCTCTCTCTCGCTCTCTCTCTCTCTCTCTCTCTCGCTCTCACTCGCTCTCTCTCGCTCTCTCTCGCTCTCCCTCGCTCTCTCCCGCTCTCTCTCTCTCTCTGCTCTCTCTCTCTCTCTCGCTCTCTCCCGCTCTCTCTCTCTCTCTCTCTCTCTCTCTCTCTCTCTCTCTCTCTCTCTCTCTCTCTCTCTCTCTCTCTCGCTCTCTCTCTCTCTCTCTCTCTCTCTCTCTCTCTCTCTCTCCCCCCCCCTCTCTCTCCACTCTCTCTCTCTCTCTCTCTCCTCTCTCTCTCTCTCTCTCTATCTCTATCTCTCTCTCTCTCTCTCTCTTCTCTCTTCTCTCTCTCTCTCTCTTCTCTCTTCTCTCTTTCTCTCGCCTGTCTCCTCTCTCAACTCCCCCTCTCTCTCTCTCCGCTCTCTCTCTCTCTCTCTCTCTCTCCCCCTCTCTCTCGCTTCCTCTCTCTCTCTCTCTCTCTCTCTCTCTCTCTCTCTCTCTCTCGTCACGGGCTCGTGAGATCAGCCAGGGTGGCTCCCCCTTGGGGCTCCCAAATGATGCCCCTGGCAGCGTTTTGTGACCATGAGGCTCTCAAGAGATACATGTTGGGGAGGCCAAACGGCAATTCTAGCTGAGGCGTCCCACCAAAATCGGCGCGAACGGGCTCGTGAGATCAGCCAGGGTGGCTCCCCCTTGGGGCTCCCAAATGATGCCCCTGGCAGCGTTTTGTGACCATGAGGCTCTCAAGAGATACATGTTGGGGGCGCCAAACGGCAATTCTAGCTGAGACGTCCCACCAAAATCGGCGCGAACGGGCTCGTGAGATCAGCCAGGGTGGCTCCCCCTTGGGGCTCCCAAATGATGCCCCTGGCAGCGTTTTGTGACCATGAGGCTCTCAAGAGATACATGTTGGGGAGCCAAACGGCAATTCTAGCTGAGACGTCCCACCAAAATCGGCGCGAACGGGCTCGTGAGATCAGCCAGGGTGGCTCCCCCTTGGGGCTCCCAAATGATGCCCCTGGCAGCGTTTTGTGACCATGAGGCTCTCAAGAGATACATGTTGGGGGCGCCAAACGGCAATTCTAGCTGAGACGTCCCACCAAAATCGGCGCGAACGGGCTCGTGAGATCAGCCAGGGTGGCTCCCCCTTGGGGCTCCCAAATGATGCCCCTGGCAGCGTTTTGTGACCATGAGGCTCTCAAGAGATACATGTTGGGGGCGCCAAACGGCAATTCTAGCTGAGACGTCCCACCAAAATCGGCGCGAACGGGCTCGTGAGATCAGCCAGGGTGGCTCCCCCTTGGGGCTCCCAAATGATGCCCCTGGCAGCGTTTTGTGATCATGAGAGAGTGTGAGTGTGAGCTTAACTTATCTTATCTTATCTTGAAATCTCTTCTTATCATATCTTGTGCTATCTTATCTTATCTTGTAGTATCTTATCTTGTCTTGTCTTATCTGGTGATTATCATTGGGAGGAGGGAGGCGCGAGCGGGAGGAAGAAGGAGGAGGAGGAGTGGGAGGCGTCAGAGTAATAACAAGAACCCCAATCCTTAGGATATGGGGAAAAATGAACCCAAAACCTTCGTAAAATCAATGATTTTGCTATGAGGGAAGATGAGCGCGGCCCCCTCAGAAGGCCAAAATGGGGCCAAAACCATCGTAAAATCAATGATTTCTGCTTCAAAGACGAGCAGAGGGGCCAAACTCGGCCCCCCCGTCGGGGCCAAAATCCTCGTGAGGGTCGTCGTTTTTTGGCCTCCGAGGAGTCGAAATGGACCCCCCTGAGAACACCCGGGACTCCCTGTCCAGGCCCAGGGGGAGGGGGTAGGGGGAGGGGTAAACCCCTCCCCGAAGGGGAAGAAGGGGGGTTGGGGGGTTGAGAACAGAGAAAGCTCTCTAAACCACTCACGCCCAAAGGGCTGGTGGGACTACCATCGTGACGTGTTCACGCGGATCTCAAGGCGCATGCGCTCGTCATCGGGCATGGAGGGAACGTCCACCCAGACGAGGCGACTGAGGGACGTTGCGCCGGCCAGCTCGACATTGGCATTCGAGTGTGCTGGTGCAGTCCCTGGTCGGTTTGGCTAATCGCCGGATGCATTCGGTTGTGTTTGGACGTCGGTCAGCCACTCCGCTGGGGCCCGCTCGGAATACGATGCCGCGCGCGCGGAGTGCACCTGCCGCCAGGGGAGGAGCGGTTCCTGAGGGACACGGGTCCCGAGGTCTTGCTGCAGTTTAGGCTCCTCGGGGCCCTCCACGGGCTCCAGGAGTGCCAGAAAGCTACAGTCGAGGCCCTGAAGAAGGAAGCCTTTTCGTTGGGGAGGGGCTCCGTGTTCCTTAATTGTTTCGCAGCTTGCCTTGGATTTTCCTTTGGTTTTCGATACGAAATCGAAGCTCAACTTATGGAAAATAGGGGCCTCGTTCCTTATTTATTTAGGGTTCCTTAGGTCAACGCCTCGATTGTAATCAGGATAAACAAGTGGTGGGGGAAGGCCCCAGGGTCCAGGACCCGCTTCCCACAGGCACTCTTTCCCCCGTGCTCGCTTGGCAGCTGCCACGACGGGACGTTTTGCGAAGGCTTTGCCTCTGAGGAAGCCGGGGCCGCGGCGCTGGAGCTGCTGCAGGGCCGCGCGGGCCCGCGGCGGCGCGGCGGGGACGGCGACCGCCGCGGCCAGGAGGGCGGCGAGGACGTGCTGACCTCCATCTGGGGGGCTGCGAAGGAGGTGTCCCTGGCCTCGAGGAAGAAATAGCGGCATGAACAGACAACTCTCGACGGTCCGCGCGGATCTCTTGGATCCGCGCTGGGCCGCCAAGGGCGGCGCCTCCGGCGCTGCCCCTGGCGCGCTCCGCGCGCCAGGGATTGGGTTCCACCGTGGATCCAAGAAATCCGCGCGGACCGTCGAGAGTTTCTGCCTGTGCCGTTCTGTCGTCCCCCTTTGTGGCCCAGGCCCAGCCCGGAGATCCTGGCGCCGCACGCTTCCCAAATGGCGGCGCCATGTGCTGTGTGCGCGTCGGCCCCGCAAAGGGCGACGCCCACGCTCGGCAATGCTGCAGTATGGGCTACGTGGCGGGCGCTGTCTGGCCACACCGCTCGGGGAACGACATGCTAATTAGAACATCTGTGCGTCGTGTGTCCATGTCGGACGTGCGCCTCCAACACCAGCACGTCGTGCCAGTGTGTCCTTCTGCGTCCCAAAGTAGCGTTTCGCTAGAGGGTGGTAGGACAAGGTAAGAAAATGACCACAGAAGAGTCCCACAGGGGGGGACGGGGAGGGGAGCTCAAGATCGTTTGGTCCTTCAGCCAGTGCGGCGGCCGTTTCGCTTCGGATCCCCTCGCAAAGTATTCCTGTACAGTCAAGACGCTGACATAAGGAACAGTTTGGGTTCGGAAGGGGGGCTCGATGTTCCTTGGGTTCCTCCAGTGCTGTTCCTCTTGCCCTCCTGGGGCACGGAGTCGCTTACAGGGCCAAGAAGGAACTTCGTTCCTTTTTGTTGGCGTTCCTTCTTTCGGCGGCCCGACTGTATCGTGCTCGCGCCTCGATGCTGGCTACATGTTTGGTCTGGACTGCCGCGATCCCTTGCAGCAAAGCATGGTTGTGCACATGGCCGTGCTCTCACCCATGTCACACGGCCAGGGTTCAAATAAAAAATCAACAGCGTTGCCCCTGGCCGTGCTTTCACCCTTGCCGCACGGCCACGATCCCCTTGTACACGAGTACGCCGAGGTGCGCATGGCCATGCTCCTACCCTTGTCGCACGGCCTCGACTCGTTGTAAACATAGACGCAGCGGTGCGCATTGCCCGTGCCCTCACCACCGTGACACGGCCACGACCCCTTTCTGCACAAATCCCCTACGGTTGGCACGTGCGTGATCTGACGCCTGGCACGGCCACGAGTCACTGTAAACAAATGCTAAGTCGGGCATGTCCCTCTACAGGAGGAATATTCAAAAACGGTCAAGCAGAAGCCTGGGGACTGTTTTGAGTATGTGTTTGAACAGTTTGGGGGTAGTATGCTGTAATAGTTTTCTACGTTTGCCCAAAATCCTAGGGACGTCTGTGGATTTGGATGCCCGAAATGGGTACGGAACAAATGGGTACGAGGCCCAACAGCAGTCTCTGTTCCTTTTGAACCGGACTCGCTGTCGGTGTCGCCGCGGCCCGTGTCCATTTGAGACGGGAGGCCGCCTGCCCAACAGCGGCCGCTGTTGCTTTGGGACAACATCTGTTGTTGGGCATTGTACCCATCCTTTCCGTACCCATTCCCAGACCCCCGACGTCATGATTTGTTCATGACGCGACCCCCAGAGGTCTGGACCCATTCCCCGGGACCGGTTTTTCATCCTGAGTCGTTTTTCTACGGTCCCGAGGCCCGGAAAGGGCCCCCAGAGGGCGAAAATAGCGAAAAACCTCCCGTCGTGATTTTTATCACGACGCGAGGGCGTCCAGATTGGAGGAGGCCTCCTCCTGGGAGCCCCCGCGGGGCACCTCGGGCACGGGGACGCCTCCCGCACGCAGCGCCCCGGCCCGTCGCGCTGCCCGCGCGGAGCGTCCGCTGCCCGGCCACCCGCGCGCGCAGGCTCGTGCGGGCGCCCGCCGTGCAGGTCTCGGCGGCGAGCGAGGGGGGGGGATAAGCGAGGCGGAGGAGCAGGAGGAGGAGGAGGAGGAGGAGGAGGAGGAGGAGGAGGAGGAGGAGGAGGAGGGCAGAGAGGAGAGGAGGAGGGGAGAGGGGGAGGAGGAGGAGAGGAGGAGGAGAGGAGGAGGAGAGAGGAGGAGGAGGAGAGGAGGAGGAGGAGCGGGGGGAGGGAGGAGGGGGCGGAGGGGGAGAAGGAGGAGGGGGTGGGGGAAGCGAGGCGGAGGAGGAGGAGAGAGGCAGAGGAGGAGGAGGAGGAGGAGGAGGGGGAAACGAGGCGGAGGAGGAGGAGGAGGAGAAGGAGGAGGAGGGCTCCTCAGAAGGCGGCGGGACTGCTCAGGAGCTCTCCGGCCTTCTGAGGGGTGTTTCGTGGATTCGGGGAAGGCTCGGGAAGCTTCTCAGGAGGCCCCGGCACTTCCGAGCCTTCTGAGACGGCCTTCTCTTGCTCACTTCCCCCTCGGGCGCGCCGCCGTCCAGGTTGCTCCCTCGGGGGGGCGCTCCGCCTCGGTGGCGTTCTACCTCGCGGAGGGGGACACTCACGAGCGGCGAAAAGATCCCCAGAGACCCGACGCTCCAACCAAAATTGGGGCCGCGGGATTTGGGCAGGTTTCGGCCTCTGGGGGCCCTCGCCGGGCCTCGGGAGCGTTAACAAAAACGACTCGGGACGAAAAACTGCCCCTAGAGAAGTGGTCCGGACCTCCAGGGCCCAGATGTCGAAAAAATTGGAGCGGCCGCGTGTCTGGGCCCGTGCCCGCGCCCTCCTCCAGACCCCCTCGAGTCAAGACAGAAGCACGACGGCGGTTCTTTCCCAGAGTTTCGGCCTCTGGGTGCCCTGCCCTTCCCGGGCCTCGGGGCCGTCCCCGTAAACGAACTGCTCAGGATGAAGAGCCTGTCCCGGGGACTGGGTTGAGACCTCTGAGGGCTGAGAAACTCGGCTACACGTAAGAGTGACCTTTCGCCTGAGTGACCTTTGGTGCGGGCACAACCCCTGTGGGCCCTCCCCCTGACCGCCCGCCCGAGAGGACCCTGGCGGCGCCCCGCGCGCCTCCAGATTGCAGCGCCTGGCCACGGTGGTCTGGAGGCTGGCGCGCGAGGCTCGGGGCAGACGGGGCGGCAGAAGCACGTCTGCGGCCAGGATCTGTCCACATCCACCGCTTCGGGGCCCTGCTTTCCTGAGGAGCGGTGGGGATGGATAACTCGGTCGCAAATCATGGGAGCCTTGTATACCCTCTTAATTGCGTCTTTAGAGTCGACTGGCGTCCATTAGCGTCTGGGAGTGGATGAGATAGCGCCGATTTAGCGTCGGCTAGCGTCGATTCGCGTCGATTTAGCGTCGATTCAGCGTCGATTTAGCGTCGATCAGAGTCGATTCGCAAGAGCCGACAAGATGGTATGGGAGACTCCCATGGGTTGCCACCGAAGGATATCTGCCCGCCCGCGTGAGCGGGCTGATACCCGTATCCACTGCCCCCCGAGACCTTGGAACACGACCCCTCGGTAATGGGTACGGTCACATCCTGGTGGCGCAGCACAATCTTCCAGAGGTCCGCGCGGATTTCTTGGATCGGCGCTGCACCCCCCGTGGCGGTGCCTCTGGCGCCGCACCTGGCGCGCTCCGCGCGCCAGGGAGGGGGCTCCAGCGCCGGTCCAAGAAAGCCTTGCGGAGCTTCGACAGGCGGAAGACGGTCCAGTTCGAGGTCGGAAGGGGCTCGGTGGTTCCGTAGGTTCGCATTTCTTCCGTTGCTTTTCGGGTGGCGAGCTCCTTCGCTGATTCTTCGGACTTCACGGCCGTTCCTTCGGATTTCACGGGTCGATTTGGAAAAAAAGGTTTCGTTCCCGACGTATCGTTCCTTATCGAAGACGCATGCGGCGAATCACCGCCGCCCCCTGTTTTTTTTGGAAGCGCCTATGTAGCCGAAAGTTGAGGCCAGAGCTCGGCAAAGCTATTGGATTGTGTGTGTGTTCCCCAGCCGTTGTGGAAACCTTTCGGGGAACACGTGGGGGAGACGGAATAATAGGAGAGGGAGGAACATGGAGGAGGAAGAGGAGAAGGCCTTCTGGGAGCCTCTTAGGGCACTCTTGTGAGCCTTCTGGGAGCTTCCGGGTGGCCTCTGGGGGGCTTCTTGGGAGCTTTCTCGGGCCTCTTTGGGGGGCCTTTTGGAGGCTCCGTGGGAAGCTTTTGCTTGGGCAGTCTGAGGGCGCTCCTGGCTCGTCTGACGCCGTCGGATACCATGCTGGGGGCCTCTCTGGGCCAAGTTGGGGCCCTCTTGGAGCGCTCGGGAACGTCTTGGAGGCCTTGGGCGTCTTGGGAGCCTCTTGAGCCGTCAGGGGCCATCTCTGAGACCTCCTGAGCGCTCTTGGGGCCATCTTGATGGCCTCCGGGGCCGTCTTGGGCCCCCAGGATGCCCCAAGATAGCCCCCGATGGGCCCAACAGCCTGCAGGGTAGCCGCAAACAATCACGAGGACCACCCCCTTTACCGTCCTCCTTTGTCGTTGTCGTCCGTCTTCTCCTCCTCATCCTCCTCCTCTTCTTCGTTCCTCCTCGTCCTCGTCCGCCTCCATCTCTTCCTCCTCGCCCTCGCGCTTGTCTGCCTACTCGTTGTCCTCCTGCTCGCATCGCTGCCTTCCCCGTCATCCAGTCTGTCATCGTCGCCGTCCGCCGCCCTGCCGTCGCCATCATCCCCACGAGCCCAAATGGGCAACATCGGCGCTTCCCGTTCTTGTCCGATCAGGTTCCAGCAGCCCCGCTGCATGCCTGAATGCAGGCTTGGTGTTCTTTCCTCCGGAGGTGTTCGAGCTGCCCGCGGACCGCGTGGCCCTGGTGTGGGACGCCCACGACGACGGGAGCAGCTGTGGCCACCAGGAGCTACGGGTCGGGAAAGGGGGGGGGGCAGGGAAGGAGGAGGAGGAGGAGGAGGAGGAGGAGGAGCACAGGAGGAGCAGGAGGCAGTGTTAAGTTATGGCGTTCCGATTGGGTGGGAAGATCTCGTAACATCGCGCTGCCATCCCTGGATTGAGTAGTTGGCTTTTCGTTTCAGGGAAATGATGTATTATAGGGTTGGGCGTGCGTCGACGAGCGCTGTTTGGCTCAAGTTTTATGTGCCTCCAAGGAAAAACGTTCTGAACACATTTACATGGTAGCGTAGCCTGCATGCAATGGTCGTGGCGGCCGCCGCAATGGCCCCACCGAACCCTGGCACAGCTGATCCAGGTTGCGATGTGACGTCACCCGAGGCCCAAGAGACTTGGTTCAACCTAAGCACGAACTGGTGGGCGGAACTGTCCAATGTCGGTTACGAGAACGGAAATGTCAGGCATGTGAGCACAACCTCAAGGAATCATGAAGGGATGAGGCTCTTCTTCGAGCGCAGCGCCATGCTAGCCCCCTAGACGGTGCACGATGACGAGGAGTTCACAATGTTACACATGATCTACAACATGCATGTGTTGTTTTTGCAAGGATAGTAAGCATCAGCCGCACCATGTATTACGAGGAAGAGTTCGACAACTTGAAAGAACACGTCTGGACAGAAGTGTAACGCCAAACAGACGCTTCAAAACATGCTACCCAGATATATGGAGCCGTACAGTCTGTTGGGTGTACCCGCGCCGGAGAAGGTGGAAGCAAGCCCGTGAGAGAATACGATGCGACTCAGGAGTCAAAAACGTTTTCGGGCGATCGGGCCAACTTAAGGAAATAAAGCGAAACTGTTGGAAAACTCTGGAACATTTGAACAACAAGCTCGGAACCATGAGTGGGGCGCGACCAGACGACTGAAAGCATGCTCTGGTCGAAAATTACGAACGGGCGTTTAGCATAAAGCGAATACGCCAAGGCTTCCAATATTAAGAAAGACGAAAAAGGAGAATCTGAGTTAGATGATGACGATTACGCCAAGTTCAACGAGAACCTGAGGCATCCGTTGAATGACAAGGGCCCCGTGGAAAGCTGAAGGCGACGGTTTAATGATCGGAGGTTGTGGGGTGATATCGCAATGGAACGGAGACAACCGGGAAATCGTTTCGTTTCGTTCGCGTCGTGCGTGCGGGAGAGGCGAAGTTGCGTGGGCGCGCGGGAGGAATTAACCCGCCGCTGGTTTGGCGAAGTCGAGACAAATCATTATCCCCCGCCCGGCCGTCCAGCGGTGGCTCGCGGTGTCCCGCGGTGTCCCGTGGTGTCCGCCGCTGCCAGGGCGAAGTCAAGACAAATGACTATCCCCCGCCAGCCTGTCCGTCCGTCCGTCGGGCGGTGGCTCGCGGTGTCCCGTTCATGTGAAAGGAGGCGGGATGCAGGGCCGTCACTGGCCATGCCCCCACAGGTACGAGTTAGCGATATCAACGAGGACGACGAGGCCAAACCCGAGTGCCAGTCCCGATGGAGCCCAGCGAGTAAGTACAATCTAAAGAAAAGAGCAGTTTTCCAGCCACCCTTCCGTTACCGAGGAAGTAGGGCATAGCCGATGAGGGGTGCGAGAGAGGTTTCAAGTTGGGGCATAAATATGTTCAGCGGGCATACATTTTCGCCGACGCCGCAGATAACATGTTCATCCGGTTACCCGGAAAAGATCGTTAACCGGGCACACGTGAAAGTTTGTTCAAGTCAATGTACACCCGGGGCGCCGCCAGCAGCGGGGACGACTGCTGCGTGGATTTTGCTTGTGATATCGGGTTCGACATCGGGAAAGCATTGCCATGCGGTTTGAAACATATGGCACGGCGAATCTGGCCAACAGCGCACGGGAGCGATGTCATACTATCGGGCAGCGATGTTGCTTCTTACTGGCGCCAAGGAGACACCGACAAGAAATGCGCAGTTTAATTCCAGGGCAGCAGCGGACCAGTGCCAACACATTTGAAGTTAATCGGGATTCTTAACCGAATTGTGGAATGGAGCAGGGGTGGGTTATGGCATGCGGCGGATCAAAGGCATGCCGAGATATTTGTCCGAGAGTTGGTCCTGGAGCTGGGCAAAGTGGGATGCGCAGTGCTGGGCGAACAGCAACCCGACGAAGAAGAAGAGGATGGAGAGCCCCCATCAAAGCACGAAGTCAACAAATACCACGGTCCAGTGGCCAGGATCAATTATCCAGCACAGGACAGCTCGAATGCACAGTTCTCAGTTAAGGGGCTCGCGCGTATAACGTCGGCCCCAAACTGAGGAGGTTGGAGCAAGGACGCCCTGAGTAGTTAACCGCATGAAAGGTCGCCGACTATGCCGGATACAAGAGAACACGTTAGTCATGTGATCATGTGGGGATCATGTGATAAAGTCGTGGGTTTGGATCCGCAGGGGCATTAATTTTCTGTAGACGCAAGGTGGCATGGAATCGTAAAAGGCGGTTCAGTAGCGTCAGGACTACAAGTATTTCTAAAGATTTCGATGTTGAGTGTGGCATCTTGTTGAAGAGCGATGCTGGCGCAGCCATTACCAATGCGAGCTGGCGACGGCTAGGAACAGCCAGACACATCGAGGTTTGCCAACTTTGGTCACAGGGGAAGCGAAGACGAGAAGACATCAAAGTGACCCACGTAGGACCACATGAGAACCTTGCAGGTGCTTTGATTCAAAATGTGAGCAGGGACAGCATGTCCATGCGTACGCGAGGTACCAATCAACATGCTGTTAACGGAAGACACGAGCTGGAGCCCGCTACGGAGAGTTAGCGGAATCCAGATCCAGGTTATCATCGCGCTCCATTTTGCTGGAGATTTGAGCGCTGGAGCCACTGGGAGCATGGTGCTCGTTTGCGCGACGTACACCTACGTTTCAGAAGATGTAAACAATTTCGCGTGACCAGATGCATTGCTGCACCTGGAAATAGTGCTTCGCGTGTTCGGATACCCTTCACTTTTGCGTCTAATTCATGGCCGCCTTCTGTTTGCAACAGTGGTACTATTCTACAACATGCACTGCGAGGGTGGAGTCGTGGACGCGTTGCGCTGCCTACTTGTTTGGAAGCCATCCGTTACCCAGTCCCCGTTGCCTTCTATCTTCCACCCGTCTCCAGATTCGGCGCGGCAGCCGAGGGGGAGTGTTAGATTATGGCGTTCCGATTGGGTGAGCAGGTCTCGTAACCTTACACTGCCATCCCTGAATGTTGCAATTGGTTTCTCTGTTCAGGGAACTGTTTTGCTACAGGGTTGAGCGTGCGTCGACCGACGCCGTTTGGCTCAAGTTAGTTTTGCCATTAGGGAAGCAACTCCTACCATGTCCTTCGGCAGGGAACGGGGAGGGGGGGAGGTCAGTACAACCCCCCCCACCCCCAGGCTCCCGACCTGGTGATCCAATGGGGTCCTGGCTGGGGGTGGGGGTGTTTTTTGATTCTCCAGAACCTTCCCAAACCACCGCCACCCCCAGCCAGGACCCCCTGGACCACCAGGTCGGGAGCGGGGGTCTTGGCTGGGAGTGGGGGGCTGTGTCGTCGCCAGGGGCGCAGCGGGGATTTTTGAGTCACGCTGGCTTCGGCCCCGTCGCTGGGCGCCTTCCTGTGACACACTGGCATCCCCGGAGCCGGGAGTGCGCCACAGAAGCCAGCTGCGGTGTGTTCGCGTCGTGTCGACTCGATGGCGACCCCGACGTGGGCGTTCCAAAGTGAACGCCGCCAGTACGACGATCGGCCAAACGGAACAATCTGGCGTTCGGTAAGCCGCCGATCTTTCAAGGTTGAACGACCCGCGCGGTGTTGCAAAACAGCGCGCAAGCCGTCACGACACGTGCCTGCCACAGCTACGTGAGCTGATTCGCCAAGCCCCCACTTTGCTACATTACGCACGTCAAAGAAGAAATCGGTTTGCCAGCAAGTGCCCTGCGGAACATTCTTATTCCACGATTGCCCAGGGGGTCACAGAAATTCTGGGGTACGGCACCTTAGACGGGGATCAATGAAGAATGTGCCTTTAGATTTTTCAACGCACGATTATTGTGATACGTGTTGCATGTTCGTGTCGTGTCGACCAGCGGCAACCCCGCCGCTGGCGTTCAACGCTGAACGCCGGTGGCGACCCAGAATCGGTCGATGTTGAACGATCAGAGGTTTCGAAATCGGCCGATCGTGCAAGGTTGAACGATCCCCGTGGTGTCAGAAACCAACGCGAGGGTCGGCGTGACACGAACTTGCCGTACCCACTGTCCCCCCATCTCTGTCCGACCCGAAGGACGTGTCCTCGTCCTGGCCGCTGCTGTTCCCCGCCGCCCTCTGCCGCGAGGCTCAGCACCGCCGAACCGAACCCCCACCCCCACCGGGCCATGGCCCCTCAGCCCCACTCGAGCTGGTAGAGACAGGGGCCACTGCAAACGGGGGTCAGCCAGAGCGCCGGATCCTGCAGGACCCTGCAACTCCAGGAATGCATTGACCCAGGCTAGCGCGCAAGATCCTGTAGGATCCTGGAGGATTTTGCAAGGTCTGCAAAGCCTGAGTGACCCAGGTTTGAATCGTCCCTGGTCAGTAGAGGCCCCACCCGCCAGCCCACACCTCAAGCTGGAAGCAATCGGGGGAAATGTTTAGGGGGGAACAGGGCTCAGGTGGGACGCATCGACCCCGCCTCGCCCATTGATCGTCGACAGGCAGGGGCCCGTTGGCCCGCCCGCCCCGCCCAGGGGTCGACAGGCAGGGGCCCGTTGATCGTCGACAAGCAGGGACCCGTTGGCCCGTGCGGCTTCGCCGTCGGGTTCCTACCGCCCATCCATCGGCGATGTGTCGCCGCTTCCAGAATCCCCCCCTGAGCCTGTCTCCCCTCGCGTTCCCCCTCAACAAGTCAGGAGGGTAAAAAGCACACAGGCACGATGAATGGTCGACTCCCAGGAAATTGTAGGAAAAATTTGGGAAGTGGAGGGGAGACAACAGTCCAGAGAAGTCTGAACAAATATGTGGGATCGTTGGATGTGTGTGTATTTATTTGTGTGTCCCTGGGCCCCTTCACAGTACTATCTCAGCCCCGCCAGCCCAGCCCCCCTCGGTGGGGGCAGGCCCCGCGAAGCCCAGAGGGAATAGCATAGCTACGCAGACCGACACGACCACCCCTCGGGTGGCAAGGGGGTCGGGGGGGGGGAAAGAGCCAACTGCTGGCAAACGCAGTGCGTGTGACGATGACCATGCTGGTGACGCGCCCTCGAGCGAGCGACGACGCGTGATGACGACGTTGCACTGCGATGTAGTGGCACTAGTTATCGTTCTCGCCATCGATCTCGCTTTCGATCTCACGATCCTTCTCACGATCGATCTCACGATCGACCCTTCTGACTATCGATCTCACGATCGATCTCATCCCCAATGTCAACATCAACCTCACCGTCGATCCCACTTTTGGTCTCACTCTCCATCCCATTCTAGCGGTCTTACCATTGATCTCGGTATCGACTTCGCTATCGATACCAAGGCGGAAAACACCCCGGGCAACCGCCCGCCCACCGCCGACGGAACCCCAACGGGACACCACGGCGGGACAGCCCAGGCCACCGCGCGACCCCTGGGGGCGGAGGAGCGGCCCACTGCATCCGAATCGCCCGAGCGACGGCGGGGCCATGCCTCTCCCGCGCCCACGCAGCTTCGCCCCGCTCGCACGCACGACACGAGCACGATACCGGAAGCGAAGTCCCGGTGGGCGGCTCTCCGCCCCACTGCGACCTCACCCCCTCCGATCCCCACCTTTTGTAGGGGGGACAACTCGGCCTGCGAGGCCGGGGCCGTGCCAGCGGGAATGGGGCTCGGTCGCCAACATCCGACGATGTGATGTCTTCCGCCCGCGGCCCCCGGAGGTCTCGACCCGCTTCCCTGGGCGTGTCTTGTCGTCCCGGAGCCACTGTTCGAGAGGCGCGGGGGCCCGATAGTGGGCCCCGCCCTGGGGTCCGACGGCACGAAGGGAGTGCAGGAGCTCGAGGAATCACGGCCAGCGCCCCAGGCCCTACATTGCCTCCTCCTCCTCCTCCTCCTTCCCTCCCCGTCCTCCTCCTCCTCCTCCTCCTCCTCCTCCTCCTCCTCCTCCTCGTCCTCCTCCTCCTCCTCCTCCTCGTCCTCCTCCTCCTCCTCCTCCTCCTCCTCCTCCTCCTCCTCCCTCCTCCCTCCTCCCTCCTCCCTCCTCTTCCTTCTCCTCCCTCCAGCCGGACCGACTTGTGGTGGTCCTGGGGCCCGAAACTGGGCAAGGACGCCCGGCCCGAAAAAGAGGAGGCGCCAGGATCTCAGAGCAGAGGCCGAGTTCGAGGAAGACATGGCGTGATGAGATCGCATCGACGGAGATCCGGGGCGCGGTGGTCCGAGGCGGACGACGACCCGGCGTTTTGGTTCGGGGAGTTCTGCCACGCCCTGGCCCACCGCGCAGAGGGCCCCGACCACTCCGCGCGGCACGCCCGAGTGGCCCAGGCCATCCCGGGCGGACGACAGGGAGGGGAGGCTCCACGGACAGGGGAGGACCTCTTCGTCCCCCTCTTCCTCCCCCTCCTCTTCCATTCTTCTCCCTCATAGATATTCGGATGCAACTCCTGGGAGGTCAAATTCTGTTTTCGCCCTGGTCCGCAATCCGGCTTAATCTAGTCTAATCCCGCTTAATCGGGCTTAATCCCGCTTCATGCCGCTTAATCTGGCTCAATCCCGCTTAATCCGAGGCCCACTCTGGCGTAACAGCTCCCAAGTGGGGCTCAATTCTCTTTAATCTTTCCGACGAAAACCTCTCAGTAGATGCTCCTAATAAATAATTCCGCTTTGTCGCACCCCGAGGCCTGTCGAAGGGGCGGGCCTGGCGTTTCGCCCGAGACATCACCACCACTTGTAACCCTGGAGCTACGAACTTGGCAACAGCTTCACGGACTGAGGGCGGGTGGTTTCCAAAATGCGGCTCTCGGCTTAGCGCCGCGCACGTTCGTTCTCAAAGCTTGCAAGAGCCTCACGGATTGAGGGTGGGCCGTTTACAAGATGTTGCTCTCGCCTTAGCGCCGCGCATAGTCGCTTTCAACCTTGCACGAAGTTCAGCGATGGAGCGCGGGTGATTTTCATCACATCAGGGAAAAACCCTATCAGTGGATGGGTTTAGAAGGACGATATTTCGGTCGATCGTGAGACTGATAGTGAAGTCGGTTCAGTGAGATCGATCGTGAGATCGATTGTGAGACCGATAGTGCGATCGATAGTGAGGTGGGTAATGAGATCGATGGGAAACCGATCGATACGGAGATCGACCAGGAACCTAGGGACCTGGAAACCCTGGAACCCCGCCGCCCACCGAAGTCGGACCAGAACCAGTAAGCGGGAACTGGGAAACCCGGAACCGGCGCCAAATCCTTCAAGATCCTTTAGGACACCTTCAGTGCAAGCATTGATTGGTTAAGAATGTGGTTCTCGCTGTAGTGCCGCGCATCGAATTGTGGTTCTCGCCGTAGCGCCGCGCACATTCATGTTAAACATCTGCAACAGTTTCATGGTTTCCCATGGTCAACGTTTCAGAAATGCGTTTGGGAAGGACTTAGGATTGTGAGGGCGCAATCTTTACGCTGATTCGCGGTTTTCACGTCCCAGAAACGGTGCTCTGGAACGAATCAGGATCTTCAAGACGCAGCAGTCAGGTTGATTCGTGGCGTTGGAGTCCCGAGAATGGCGTTTTGGCACGCTGCAGGGTCTTCAAACGGTTTTCTCCCAACGAGGCAGTTCCTTCAGTTGAAATAAACGCGTGTATGGGGCCTAAGAAGAGGGAGCTTGGAGGGAGGGTTTATTCCAACATCGTTAACGAGTCTTGGGTTTACACTGGTTCCCCTCCTTTCCCTCTCCTCCTCCCACTCCTCCCCCACCCCCTCGTCCCCCTCCCCTCCCCCCTCCCGCTCCCCACGGGACAGGGCAAGAGGGGAGTTTGCAGCCACGCCGCCGGGCGCATCCTTCGGTACATTGGCGCCTCCGGCGCCAGGAGGCGCCAGGAAAAGCAGCTGGTTACCAGAGCCGGTTCCCAAGCCCCGCCGTTGGTATCCCCCCCTTTCGTTCGACCCGAGCCATCATGTCCAGGCACCTGGGCGCCTTCTCGAGAGCGTTCAGGAGGACGCCCTCGAGGGGCCGCTGACAGCCAAAGAAAAGAATCCGCGCTCAGTTGCCTGCGCCCGCTCCTCCTCCCCCTGACATCTCCGCGCCGTGACAGCAAGTCGCGACGGACAGCCTTGTGCATGTCTCTGGCCCCCAGGGACCTTCCCTGGGCCCCGGGACCGTTGAGAAACGGTGCGGGATGATTGAGCTCGTCCCAGGGATAGCTGGCTACGCGCACGAGTGACCTTTTGCCCCATACTGGCTCTTGATGTGTGGCCCCGGGGGCCCCCAGATGGCCCAGAGGGATGCGATGGCAGCGGCCTGCGCGCTCTGGTTCCCTGCCCCCCGAAGTCCGCGCACCAGAGGTCACCCTTGGCTCGGCGCGCCTGGGGCGCAGCCGAGGCGCTGAAGTGAGGACCGCCTCGGGCTCCGGAGGGGGCTCGGTGGTTGCCAGGCGGTTCCTGAGGCCTGGCTGGGCCACAACTGGCGTCCCACCAGCTTCCAGACCCCGGGTTCCTGATCCGGTGGTTCCTTATCCAGTGGCCTCACCGTGTTTGGTGTTCCTCGTGGTAGCACGCTGGGTGTCGCTGAGGCGGGGCCGAGGCCTCTGAGGAGCCACGCCGCGATACATTATCCGTAAGGGCTTCGCCCCCTGCCGCCGGCCCCCTCTCTCGGAGAATGGGCCATGGAAGAGCTAAGTCATGAGGCTTTGGCGCTGTCGTGCAGCAGTATCGGAACTTCATGCGAGGCCGATTCGCAATCGGCAAAACCAACTGATCACAAGAGGGGTTACCACACAGGGCGATTGGTAAGACGTGTATGGTTTACGAGCTTGGTTACCACACCTTGGGATTAAAGGGCCGAGGGAGTACTCGCAGTTTGGGTTACCACGCCTTGCGATGGATGTGCGTGAGGGGTGGCACCGAATTTCAGAAATGTGGCAAATCCCTGTGTTTTTGGACCCTGACCCCGCGGATCTGCGTGAGGGGTGGCACCGAATTTCAGAAATGTGGCAAATCCCATGTGTTTTTGGACCCTGACCCCGCGGATCTGCGTGAGGGGTGGCACCGAATTTCAGAAATGTGGCAAATCCCATGTGTTTTTGGACCCTGACCCCGCGGATCTGCGTGAGGGGTGGCACCGAATTTCAGAAATGTGGCAAATCCCATGTGTTTTTGGACCCTGACCCCGCGGATCTGCGTGAGGGGTGTCGATTTCGAGCCCCCCCAGCAATTCAGACAACGCGCCCAGGTGGTGCTAAAAATCTGGTTTGGGCCTCCCTCCCCTCGCGCGGTCAATCAACTAGTTACAGTAACCAGCAAGAAGCAGAACTGTAACACTGGAAACTACAAACTACAACTGGTACAGGAAACTGCGAATCACGGGCCTACAGCCTGGTGGCCCCACAAGGGGGCCGGCGGATCTTGTTTCGAGCGGTCCCCACCGAAACCTTCAGCGCCTGAAGATGTGGAATGGCGATTCCTTGATGATGCATGGACAGGCAATGCTGCAGTTGCTGCTCCCAAGGGGATGCTTCGCGATGGGCCAACGCTGGTACGCATTTCGGCGCAGAGCGACTGGCGCGTGGAGCGGACGTGTTGTCCTTGCGTCGGCTCTGCGCTCAGCTGCTGGCAACTCCAAGAGGACACCGTGTGGCTGAGGCTCTGCATGCTGCTGCTACTGGGGGGGGGGCTGGCCGAGTGGACGCCGAGTGGACGCCGCAGGCGCCACGGCCCTAGGGCTCAGCCGCCTTCGTCCACGGTGCGGGAAGGTGGATGAGGACATGTTTCACCGAGGCTGGGTAAGTAGTTGAGGTAGTTTGAATTGTTAGGGTCGCTTTGGTGGCGGCCACAATTTGGGGGATTCGTTTGAAGGAAGCCTCTGCAGGCAAGTAGTTGAGGTAGTTTGGATTCTTAGGGTCGCTTTGGTGGCGGCCACAATTTTGAGCCAGAGTGGCTGTCTCAAATGTGACCGTTTTGGTGCCGTGCACTTTCCTTCCGGGTCTTTCCTTTCCAACAAAAAATGTTTCACCGAGGCTGGGGTTGCGAGAAGAATGTTGACTCGGCCGCCTACACCAAGGCAGATCTCGTGTCCCAAGCCCAACCACGATGAGAGAGTGAAGGGTGCGATTGGTTCCGAGGGAAGGTACCAGCACCTTGGACGAGAGTACCGCCTGTGGATGACGAGCCCGGGTGGTATGTTTCAGGCGCCCCAGCTGTTAGCACGTGCATCGGTTTCGGCAAAGACAGCTGGAGTGCACCGTTCTGGTTCTTCGGCGGCGCGAGCGGTGGACCCGAGTCAGCGGATGCTCGCTTTCGACTGGTCGGACTCGCAATGGTCATGGTCCAATCTTTCGACCCGCTTGTCATCGCCACCACGCTCTCTGGAAGGCTTCCAGGGGTGCAGCAGAGTGTACTTCGGGGTGAGCTCATGGCCCTCCTTGTTGCAGCACGTGGCCCGTGTGGAAGGCATATATGTGGCCCGTGTGGAGTCATCGTCCCATCAGTTGGGAAGCTGGCGGTTGTCATCATCACGTGTCTCCTTTTTGGGAAAAAAAGACGAATTATTTATTTGTTTATATATATATGTATGACAGATAATGCGATGGTGGCGGACGGGTGGAGCGCACAGAGATGTCTGGCTCCTACTGGGGAGCCAGCGGATCTGTGGAAGGAGGTGGGGGACGCAGTTTCGATTAGGGACCCTTGCTCGTTCGCTGTCTTCTTCGTGAACTCATCAGTCGGGGGCCCAAGTGGTTTTGTCATAGACACCCTGGAGGCTCGCTGTTGGAAACACCGTTGCGGACATCGTGGCGGGTGCGGTTGCTGAACGGTGACGGGTCCCCGAGGCGACCCGATACGAAGTCGGCAGGCATTTCATACGCGTAAGGTTGATTCGAGCGACCATCGACGCGCTCGATGCTGAAGTTGAGTCGGGGAAAACAGCGGGCGGCACGGTTCCTGAGCCAACCTTGCCGCTTCCTCCTCCGCCTTCAGTTTCTCGTTTCTTCGCACCTCGGCACACAATCGATGAGCTTGGGAACAGATGCAGCACGTGTAGCAGTTCAGCCCCACAGGTTACCTTAGCTGAGCGGATGGAGTCCGAGTGATTTAAGCAGCGTTTTCTTGACGGTAGGTTCTATGCTCTTCCCGCACAGTTCCGTTACATATATCGGGGGGGGGGGCACACCGTACTCACAGTATGCGTCTGAACATTCACATGCGGCTTTGGGCGAGTTGTGGATCTTATGGTATTCGCCGTGCTGTAAGTCTGACAGCCCTGCCTTGGGGCTCCGAATTCGAACCTCCGTGATCATTTAAGTCGGATCCACACCGATCGTCGGCAAGCCTCTCAGCAAGTCCGAGTTGCTCACGCGTGGTCGTTAGTAGCTATCATCATCTTGGACTCTCTCTACACCTGGTCTTACTCACTCCTCCTCCCTCTCCGTCCTCCTCCTCGGTGGCACCACGTTACGGCATGGTGCGTATGATCGGTCAGGTTAGGTTAGGTGATGCAAGTATCCGTGATGCTGCTTAGGGTATGCCCAGTTCCTTAAAGCATATGTTGATACACTCTGCTATACCATACCTCTTCCATGAATGTATACCCATTCATGTTCGTTCAATGGTTACTGTTGGGGCAGCAGTGGTATAACAGTCCTGGCTTGGTATGCTGGCTACACCGTGCTCGATTTGCTATGTGCTGCCGGTTTGATATGATTCTAGTTTATTGTGCTCTATCATGCCTGTTATGTTCTCGACGGGCCGCCGGGACGCCGTGACGCCTGTCACGAGAGATACGTCGTCCGATCGTTCGTTGTTGCGCTTGTTTGCTCCTGTGGCCAACATGACCTCGGCGCGCGCGTCACGCTTGATTACCTTGTAGTAAGATAGGTTATGTTGTGATGGCCATATGCTCATATGTTTCCCTCCTGTTTAAATGTGCTCTGTTACGCGCACTGCTGCCACAGTACGATTTGATATACTTTATGATTATCTGGCGTGTGGCACTGGGATGTGATATGACTTACTCTTAGTTGGGTGATGTTGTTTACGCCAAGTCGTGTTATGTCCAGTATGTTCTGCGACGTTTTGGTGTGTCCAGATCTTCCCCTGTAGTCAAGAAACAAAGTTCTCTGATGTTGCAGTACATGCGTTGCAGTCGTTGCACTGCTACGTTAAATGATGGTCAAGGCTGCGTTATAGCATGCCATGTTCCGTCATGGCATGGTTTGTTATGTTCGGTTATGCGATGTTATGACCTGTCGTTGCATAACATGTGAAACCGTGCTCTGTCGTGGTGTGCTCGGCCATGCTATGGAACGCCATGGTTTCTGCGATTGTGGTCGGTTATGCGATGGTACGTCAAGTGCTAGCACGTTATGATTCGTTAGGTTGTGATCGCATACATTCTGCTATGGTGTATTATGTTACGTTAGGTGATGATCAGCCATGCCATTTTATCATGGGTCGTGGTAACTTCATGTCTTATATGGCCGAGTCATTCACACCATGCGTTGATATGTTGTGTTGTATAGCGGGGTGCTCCGACATTCAAGATGTGTTGTGTCAGGTTGTGTTGCTATGCTATGTTTCGTGTCGTTTATAATATCATGTTATGCCGCGCTCTGACATTGCATGCATTGTCATGGTACGGTGTGTTACGATATGTTGTGTTATGATATGGTATGTAATGGCATGCTATGATATGCGGTGTCATGTGGTGATGGGTTGTGCTGTGCTTACGATATGGCATGTATGCTCCGCTCTGCTATTGCAAGCGTTGTCATGCTCTGGTATACTATGATGTGTGAGGTTATGCTGTGGTCTGCATGGTTCGCGTTGTCGTGGTACGCTATGCTATGCGATAGTATTGCTATAGTGACACTCGGTGGAGCTGGGGAGCTGGCGGCCGCGGCGTGCAGGGTGGTCGGGCCGGGAGTTCTGCGGCCGCCCGCGGCGGCTGCCCCACCGATCTGCCGCGCGGGGGAGCCTCGACCCCGTCTTCTGCTGAGGGCCGCCGCTGGGGTGGGGGGGGGGGGGGAGAGAACGACACGGCGGGCCTAACGCTGCGTTGGCTCCTTCGAGGCTCGAGGCTCGAGGAGTTCTGGACGTTTTCGTGGGCTCTCGTCGGCTTCCCAGCCGCGGGGTGCCCTCCAGCGGCTGCGCCTCGCCGAGGACGTTCCATGGGGCGACGAGATCTATGCATATCCACTGCTCCTGGCCAGGCCCATCCTGGGCCCAGGAGCGGTGTATATGCCTCCCTGGCCAAGCCAGGAGGGCGTATACACAGCTCTTGGGCCCAGGATTGGCCTGGCCGGGAGCAGTGGATATGTATAGATATCGTCGCCCTAGTTCCAGGGGTGCCCGGATCGTCCCGAGCGGCCGCCGGGGGGATGCTTCCTCTCCTCTTCCCCTCAGCTTACCAGCCTGGAGCATGCCACCATCCTTGAGCTTGGCATCGCCCTAGCCCGATGCCGTTCTTGGGGATTTCCTCCGTTTCTGAGGGCGCATCCCTGGGATTGCCATCGCCCTGTGGCTTGCCACTCTTAGAGACAGGGACGCCTTCGAGTCTGCTTACAGCTGTCGCCCCCTTTCCCCGAGCGCTTCCTCGACCCGAGCGCGCCCCCCCCCCTGCGCAAACGCAGACCCCCTCGGCCCGAGAACGCCCCCGGGGGCCAGGCGGGCCGCGCCGGCGCCATGGCCGACCAGGCCGCGCCTCCGTCCCCCTACTGGCCTCTGGCGGCTCGACGTCTGTTGCCAGAGGTGTGGGCCCCTCTCAGCCACGCGCACAAGGGGTTTCTGGGGGGAGGGGGGGAGTCTTCTCACAAGGAGGCTGCTTCGCAGAAGGCGTGGGCCTTGTCCACCAACGTAGGGCCGGCGCCTTCCACGAAGCAGCCCTTCTTCTAAGGAACCGTCGTCCCTCCCCCTACCCCCATTGTGCGCGCCGCCAGGCCTCGCCAGGCAGGGCCGCTCCATCGCTCGCTGGAAGTGCGATGGGGGCGGCCGTTAAGGAGTACGCAAAGGAGCTTCAGGCCCCGGAGGGTTCCTCATCTGGTGGGGGCGGCGGTGAAGTCCATGACCCTGGGTTCCCAATCTACGGGTTCCACCAGCTTCCAGACCCTGGGTTCTTTGCCCAAGGGTTCCTGTACCAATATGCCCTCACCGCGTGCGTTCTGAATCCCCAGGCTCCAACCTGCCCAGATCTCAGACAGTCTGATTGTTTCGACCGACGCCTTCCGATTTCCCAAGGATCGAGCAGTCTTCCCGTTTCCCTCCTCTTCGGGGGGAGCGGGTGGACCCCCGATCCATCCTCAACGCACTCTCGCTTCGTGGTTCCACCCATTTCTTCCGAACGGTGGGAGCCGGGGCATCCAGCGTCTGGAACAAACAGCGAGACGGCGCTGCTCTGCCTGCGTCGGCCTCTGGGGACCCTCGCGGGGCCCCGTGCAGACAGCGCAGGATGCAGAGCTGGCCCTGGGGAGAAGATCCGCTACAAGAGGATATACACAGATGCCCTCAAATTGATAAGTTCTGGGTCTCATGGGGAGGCTACCAGCCTCGAACTTATCCCTATCCCTAAGATTGACACGCCAATAGGCGATGAAAATCTTAGGGATGCGCCCTCAAAAAGTAAGGGAACCCATAAGATTGGCATCGTGATTAGGAGATGCCCAGCACAGGGATAGGGATATGTTCCAGGCTGGTAAGGAGGGTGGCGGTGTAGAAGGCACCACTCGGAGCCAGCGACTTTGTACGCCGCCGCCCTCCCTGAAGGTATATGCAAAAATATGTCGGAGGGTGTCTGTGCATATGCTTCGGTGGCGTAAACGAAGGGCCTCAGGGGGGACCTCCGGCACTGACAAGAAGGGCTCTGGAGCGCTCAGGGGCGCTCTGGATCGGCCTCGGCCGCCCCAGCCCAGCCTCTTGCCTCGGACCCTTCGGCCCCGCCCCCCCGCTGGCTTCTGCATCGCCCGGGCCGGTTTTGTTGACACCCCGAGGGCCGAGAAGCTCTGGCTGGGCCCTCTCCTTGGCGGACCCGATAGATCTCGAGGGGCGGATCTCATCGAGCACAGAAGAGCCCGTAACCCTGCTAACGCGACGAAGGCGCGGCCTCACTGAGATCCCCGTCTTCGCATCAGGAACAATATATCTGGGCGCTTTGGCCTGACACATCTGCAGAAGAGACCCCCCATCCCTAATGTCTTCGGCCCTCCTAACTTGCGTCCCCTCCCAACGGGTTAGGGGTTCTTTCTTGGTTTATCAGCGGAGAGCTCGCGCACCAGACGCCTCTGGCGAGGCGACCGCTGACGACTCCGATGTTGTTGCCTTGCGCTGGTGGTGAAGGAAGGCGGGGATCGGAGGCACTTACTCTAGCAGCGGCGAAGCGTCCTGCATTGCCAATGGGCCCACCAGAGGGTGTTCTTGTGATACACATCGGCCTTGCGTGCTAAGGATATGGTTTTGCTATCCGAACACTGCTGGGTTCAAAGAACATGTCGTGGTAGGCCTACAGGAATGCCGGGACGGTCGGTCCCTGTTCAACATGCACCGCCCCCGGGCATGGGCCTCGCCCGGGGCGGTGGATCTGCGTGTAGGTCTCGTCGCCCCCGAGGGAGGCCGACAGTGGGGCTGGCTCGCTGCCTTCGAGCCGCCAGAGGCCTGCCAGCGGCGCGCACACGGGGGGGTGGGGGCGAAGGCCGAGAGGCCTGCTGCGCAGAGATCCAGGCCTCCCAGGTGGGGTCGGAGCGGATGGGGTCGGAGGATCCGCGCCGCGTCGCCGCTGCATCGGGGGTCTGGCTCAATGTGGAGCCCGATTTTGTCCACGCCGGCGTCGCCGATGCGTCGCCGACGTCTCCGATGCATCGCCGA